GATTAATTTAGTTTTAAATTTAATTGAATTAAACTGAATTATTTTCAATGGAATAAAAAGTTAGTAAAGTGTAAAACTAACCATTGGAATACACTTATTCTAGGGTGTTAAAGTAATCATGTTAATTTAATTAAAATGAACATAACTTTGTCTATTATAGTAGTCTATACATCTATTTAGATCTTATCATGCTAGACAAGTTGATTGAAAGAAGGAATGATTTAAAGTAGAAATGTATACTGTACTACTGACTGTTTTTAGATGGGATTATACTAAGGGTTATTTTTCCTTCAAACTAAAGGAGAATGTTAGGAAAAGTTGACTGTAGTAAGATGATACCTTACTTTACCTGATTCATTTTGTTGACAATTGTATTACGTTTAAAGCTCTGACCTAATACACAAATATCTATTTACAGAAGCGTTATATGTGACTTGCTTCAAACAGTTGTTTCCTCATAAGCAGAGGTAGCTAGTGACTGGCAATCTAATTCAGGAAATGCGTTTCTTCCTATATAGGACTCGTCAACTGGATGTATTTGAATCCCGGAGTTGATGTTTACTTTGGGACTCAATCTGCACAGGATGTACTCATGCCAATAAGAGACTGTTAATATGCAATCCCTAACATTAATAGGAAGATTCAAATAACCAATACAAATAATGAATCAAACTTCATCCTACTGTACAAGCTGATGGTTATCTGAACTCAGTGGTTAAGTGGATGACGCGATGGCATTTGAAGCGAACTGTACTAAGTTCAAGCTCTGGAATGCAGGTAAATCCAGTTGATGAGTCCCAAAATAGGACGAAATGCGCGTCGTAAATTTCATTGCTAGCCACCATCCATTTCTTCTTATAATGCTTGTGACTTAATGCATTATTGAGGCAATCCGCACAGGATGCACATTTACTAATAAGTGACTGATCGATTTCGACACTTTGAATGATACATACCATAGGATTAAAGATCATCATAATTCCAATCGAACCCCTTATTCATCTCTTAAAAACGTTTATATTTCCGCTTTCAACCCTTTTTTATAGCTTCATTTTTCTCCTTTAGGCCATCAATGTGTGGTATGTTAACTTGAATAAATGTTCATTTATGCCCAGCTCGAAATTGATTTTAACTGACTGGTTTATATTGTGAACTATACTGTATCGAACGCTCAGTAATTCAAATGAGATGGAACTTAGGATCTTTAAGTCTTTCCTTAAGCACATTGTATCTGCACATGTAGTTAATTATGGTGGATCAGTATGTGGTGTGAGCGATTGAAATACAACAATCTGTAACAAAACCTCCTTTACTAATGATACTTGTCTTCTCATCAGTAACAGACTCAAAATAAGAGTTTCAGTGGTAATCTGTGATTAGTGAGGCTCACCCATGCTCAATATTTTACGTTACTCAGTTAGGACAATTAATGTTGGTTGTGTAATATCACGAATCGATTGAACCTAGATATGTAACATATTAGATGCCAACTTATTAGTCTGAAAATTAAACGCTCGTCATAAAACAAGAGGTTTGAGGTTTAATCCTTCGAGGAACACACTGCTAAGAGATCTCATACTATGATGAAACGATTGCCCAGTACTCCTTAATTTTCAATATTCATCTATCTAAGGAAAATCCATGAAGTAAATCTAACAAATTCAGTAATCTTCACAAACTTCCTAATACTAATGATTAACAATTGTCAAGTTACAAATAACTACATTAAGTAACACCTATTAATCTTGTGATAAACCACTCAGAGTTATATGTAGACGAATTTGGTAGTTTGTTTGTATTAGATGAAATGAAATAATTCTTGAAGAATTTCTTCTCCTTTTTAAAGTCATTTCAATATCCAGTTTCTATTAAATGTAATACCATTACTAATTCATACTTAAGCTTTTGGAATACTTTTAACAACTGCGTTCCATTCTAGGACGAAATGGCCGTCCAATACTTCTAAGTTTTTCATGATGGTCTAGCTTTAATTGATTCATGAATTCATCTATTGAATCACTACAATCTCCACAAAATCCGCCTTTTGTTATTAACTGAAAAATATCTTACTTACTTACTTACTTACGCCTGTTACTCCTAACGGAGCATAGGCTGCCGACCAGCATTCCCCAACCCACTCTGTCCTGGGCCTTCTTTTCTAATTCCATCCAGTTCTTGTTCATTTTTCTCATGCCTATCTCCATTTCCCGGCGTAATGTGGAGTCCCTCCGGGGGCTACTGCCGGTCCCAAGCCCGGACAAAGGAGAAGGGTTGAACATGAGGTTAGCGACCCCATCTCGTAGAAAACTAACTCGCTAAAAAAACGCTAACCAGAAGAAAATAATTGAAAAATATCTCCTGTTCAAAACATTTTTTCAGCTCAATTTGTTTGACTATTTAAACTACAGATAAGACTATTCATAATCTATAGTTTTAATTATATAGTAATAATGGTATGAAGTGTCCGAATTTCTCCACATTTGGCTTACATCTTCTCCTATAGGCTTCTATATGTGATGAAATTCGAACACTTCACTTTTACTTGAAGTTTGTGATGATGATATCGTTCAGAATAACAATAAGAGCTTCATGACAATATTATCCAGTTCACAGAATAAAACTTTATCATAGGCAATAATAGTGTTTTTGTGGATATTATATAGTAAGCTCAGTGGTTGAGATCATCATGAGTCAACTGAAGCTAGACCACCATAGAAAACTTGGAGGCAGTGGATGGTCGTTAAATGCCGGCTGGCTTAGTGATCTAGTGGTTAAGCACTCGCACGTCACGTCCTAGGTTCGAATCTCATAAGGTAGGATTGTAGATGTGCACTGTTAGGGAGTCCCATATTTAGATAAAATGGTCGTCTAATTATTTCTGATGATCTAGCTTCAATTGACTCATGATCTCAACCATCGAGATCGTATTTTTATTATCCATATCAAAGAAATAATGAATACCATTATAGGGGTTGTGGAGTTTATTAAGTTTTTTTATTGATATCGTGACTAAATTGATGTTAGACCACCTTTGGAAACCTGGAAGCACTGGACATTGGTATAAGAAGTCACCAAATAGATATGAACCATATAAATCATTCGATCTATGTGATTGCTTGGATACTGTCCAGGGGCCCAATCCGAAAGTGAGAAGCCGTGACCAGTGGAGTTAATCCATGTTGGGTAGAGACGGGTATCTACCTCAGTACAATGGAAGATCGTTGCGCAATTTCGGGGATTGGTTGAAGTTAGACACCATCACCATTAGATGCCGGCCCAGTGGTCCAGTTGATCAAGCGTTCACATGCGAGACTTAATGGCCTGTGTTCGAATCCCGCGAGCGGAATCGTGGATGCGCACTGCCGAGTAGTCCCACAATAGGACGAAATGGCCGTCCATTGCTTCCAGGTTTCCAAAGGTGGTCTAACATCAATTGGTTCATGATCTCTATAAAAAAAACGAATACCATTCATAAGAAACTTTATTTTGTCGATATGGTGTTTATTTAAACTCCTCTTTACAATTAACTAATTAATTGACTCTTATGAATTGCAATGGTGTTCGTTTGTTTTTACTTAATTTTTCCGATAGAAAAACAATTCGTCTTGTTAAAGGTAAACTTTACATTTAAACGTGTTCAGTTTTTATGTGTGTGTGTGTGTGTGTGCGGGTATAACCAGTTGTGATAATACAATTAATATTATCTGTAAGAGATAGAAACAACAAAATTGTATTACTTAAACAGTTATAAAATGTCATGTTTTCGTGACTTACATCGATACAGAGAGGGAGCAAGCGAACTAGAGAGAGAGAGAGAGAGTGAGAGTGAGAGAGTGAGCCAACAAAGAAAAGGATATTTATTGAATGAAGTCATAACTGTAAGTGAGGAACAACTTCTTAAACATATAAACCATAGATGTAAGCACACACATACACAAGGATAACGACAACGTCACGTACACATTGACAAATACAAAGTAATTAAGTTTTACGAAAAAAGGACCCCTTTTTGGACAAAGAGGACAGTACTTTTCAAAATTAAACAAGACAACAAAACAAGTTGATATGGAACATGAAGAGGGGGGAATTATTTAGGAATTGATGGTGATCACAATGGCATGGATATTAGTACTAACTATGTGATGAAATATATATAGTATTTTTCAAGGAAACCTTTATATACTATTTACATTTATATATTATACATATATGCAGTGCACTAGTACGGATGCTCTTGTGTAATGTACATGGACTGGTTACCAGGTGATTACGTAGACGTAGCTCTATAAAAATTTCTTGAAAATAATTCTGTCTAATGCAATAACCAATTTCTTTAATTTTTTGTACTTTTAACATCACGCGTTTTTATAGCTTTACAATTATATACTACTGACTACTGTTATATACTACTACTAAGAGAATTTAAAAGTCCATATATGAATATATATATTTGAATAGATTTTTAAGTAGACAACTTCAGAGGTTGTCCTCAACCTATTCAATGTTTGCTAAATATATTGCATTCAGTAACTTTAGCTACACTCCTATTTACTCAGTGAGTGATAGTTGCATCACTGTGGTGTCATTTTCCTCTCTTTCATTTTACATATTGATGATATGTTGAAAAGGGATATGAAAGTTTAAAAACTAAGCCATCCAATTCTAACAATGTCAATAGTTGAAATTATGAGTCAATTGAAGCTAGACCACCATGAAAAACCTGGAAGCACTGGACGGCCGTTTCGTCCCGCTGTGGGACTCTTCAGTAGTCCGCACCCACAATCCGCCCCCAGCAAGATTCAAACCCAGGACCTATCCGTCTCGCGCGCGAGGGCTTAACCATTAGTGCACTGAGCCAGCATCATGATTTCAACTATTGAAATTAGTAAAATCTCCACAAAACCCCTTCTAACAATGTCATTTACACAAGAGATTTTATTTCGAACCCTGTTTTTTCATTCATAATTTCGGTTTCTATTCCATTGTTATTTTCGTATTAGATACTTTTTATTAACTTCGGATGTATGAAATCAAATCTTTGAAGAAATTCACACTCTAGTAAGTGATACTCATTGACTAAACTGATGAAAATATAAATGAAGTTGTTGGGGTTAGACTGTAATTTATGGATGATTTTCATCACTAACTGACATCAGCTATAATACCAAAACCCTAACTAGTCATCGTCTTTTTAGAACTAATTTGATAGTTTTTATTGAATACTGTATTTTGGGACCATTACGTAAGTAGTGTTGAATTTAGATGCAGGTTTTTGGCTAAGGACGACAAAACGATTGACGAGGTAGTGAACTTTTATGGACTATAATAGTTAGTTAGTTACGTCAACCTATCTGTCAATGTTCCCAACTAACTTTGACGACTGGTGTGGTAGTGAACAGGAAGAAAGATGTAGGTGACCATATGATTCTAAGTAGGCAGGTGTAGACTACGTGTTTGAGGTTCGCTTGATCATTGTAAACAATGGTTAGAGACTTTGAGTAGTACGACACTTTATTTTTATTTATTTTATTTGAACAAATAAATATTGGTACAAATGGGGCACCAAATACGTATGCGTCACACACGTCACTTGATTTTTGTGTCGGATGTGATACTGCCCGGGTGTCCAAACCGAAACAGGTGGTTTATAGCGACTCACGTGCAAATGGGTTTATTCTCATTTAACTCAGTTAAGTCCTTTTGCTAACTTATTTAGCGGACAAAGTCATCCGTACTATAACAATTTATTGTACCCTTATTATTTTGTGCTTGTATGAAATACGTATGCTTGAATATTGCTTACTGCCTACGCATTTATTCACTCTGCTAGTCTTACTACTAACCGCTTATTGGATTCGATCACTCATTCATTTCACATCGTATATATATGTCCATGTTATTCATATTCAATACACACTCACTCACTCACAAGCTCTTGTCACGCTCTTGCTCTTGCTCTCGCTCGCTTGCTTACCTTTCGGCACAACTCCTCTATGCTTGTTTAACGCATCTGTACATTTGTATATATGTGTGTGATCTCGCAATAAACGTAATCAACACTTCGTATTTGCCTTCTGATTAATATACCGTTGAGGCGTTATACAGAACGGTTAGCAAGACGAATAGTATACGAAGTTAAGGATTATATCGGATACCGACCACCACAGGTTTCCATAGGAGGCCACTTCTGGAGCTTTCAACACAGAGGTCTGATCCATAAGGCGGTGGATCAACGTCAGGAGATGCAGTCTCATGGTAGTCGGTGAACAACATTAGGTTCATACGCCATTTGTTTCCTTAAGATCCTAGAGTTAGTGTTCACCATTGGCGTGTAATTAGGCTTTTCCAATTACCCTAAGTGGATCCTCTATATCCACCAACCAGGCTGAAACTCTCAATATTTCTTTTTTCGTCCACTCAATTTCTTAAAGAACACTCTCGCTGTCAGAAGGCACTGATTAGGACTTCCCTGACAGTAGTTGTATGCACATGGTCTTTTGAGAGCACTTCGAGAAGGAGAGCTGAATCTCCCCATTCTCGGCCGTACCAGGGCATTTAGGGGCTCAAGTGAATTCACTCTTCGTTTCCCCTTAGATTCTATTTTTCTAAATGCCATAAATTTTGTTTTTATTTCTTAAATCTAATTTTCCCCGTATCATATCTCTGATGCATGATTTCTCCCATTGTTACTAACACTATTAGTACGTTTACTACATTGTGATTTGACCTGAGAATTTCATTTCGCTGCGTTATAATAAGGTTTAACAACATGAATCAACGTACACAGAATATTCTTAGCTTCTGAAGATTTTTTTGTTATTTTATAGTTGAATTCATGATTCACTTAAAGCTAGATCATCATTGAAAATCAGGACGATTTAGACGGCCGTTTAATCCTAGTATAGGACTCCTCATCAGTGCCCATATACGATCCCCCTCCGCGAGATTCAAACCTAAGACCTATCGTTCTTGCGCATTAACACTTAATGTCTAAACTACACAACCGGCTGGCATCCAACAGTGTTAATGTCGAAGCGTTTCTCTTCTAAAGAAAAATATTTAATCTAGTAATTTATAATTTTTCAAGTTAGAGACTATTCAAACTAAAATAATGAATATTTTACACTTTGTTTTTAAAGAAACCACTTAAAGTGAATGGTTAATCTTTCTTAAAATGGAAAGGCGGTTATACGATCTTTTTTGCATAAAAATAACATCATTATTTTCAGTAAAAGCTGATTTATAGAAACTGTAGGATTTTCATTAAGAGCGCTTAATAACTATTACAGCTACGTTTAAGACTTTTCAGTAGGGTGCATCTCGATATCCTACTCGGGAACCGTACTCAAGGCCATTGTTAGTACCAGTAAACACTCTACTACTAGATCATTGAGCTGAGAGCCAATGGATGTAAGGTAGTTATCTACCGCATAGAATGAATGAAGGTTGCAAAGTTTTATGAATTGATTGTAGTTAGTGTACGTTAGTGAGACCAAAGGTCTTCAGTCTGATCTCTGGATGTGGAACATTGGATGAACACTGCTGAAGAATCCCATATTTAGACAAAATGGTTGTTCAGTACTTTCAGTTTTTTAGTAGTGATCTAGCTGAGATCAGATCATTATTTTTGTTTGTTTATTTTTTGATTACTCAGATCAAAAAATGGTTTTCATCAATAATGTACATATTACCTACAACTAATCAGTAACTTATTCCATTGAGGTATTATGGGAATTATTTTTAACCGGTTGTTTAGTGATTTTTTGTTAGTTCTGTGCTTTGATCACTAACACTGTTTGATTACAGAATAGCTTAGCCAGTATAATCTTGAGTTCAAGCACTCAATGACTCATGTTTTAATCACTTAGGATATCAATTAAAGATCCGTTTTGCAAATGAATGTCGATAAGGAAAGAAATGCACGTCTAAAGCTGTCAAACAATCATTATCAACTAATTAATCTGACAATTTAACATAAGCAATACCAAGTCATGGTGGAGATTTGTAGCTGAAATAGATGATTTCGATCATATCATACGAGCGTATTACGCTTCTCATTGTTCGAAAATGGAAGAATTTCGCCAAAAGGCAGGCTTTCACTCGAGAACAACTGTATTCTCTCCACCAGTGTTTTCGTTAGCATGTTCTACCGACAAGGATAAGATACAAACCTCCAATCATTTGCCCAATAGGAGGGAGAATATCTGTGCGAAGTGGAAGAAAAATGGTACACTTAATAATAACACGACCAAACCAACCAGCTCAGAGAACGAAACTCCATCAAAATAACAAGTCATTTTAACTACTAATCATATAACATGATGTACAATAGAGTTTTTTCAGTACTATGAACTAATTACACATGACACTAGGATTTCGTTGAATGGACAATCAGTATAAACTTCTCGTCTAATAAAATTTTAGTAGTAGCTTAAATAGCTCAGTAGTAACATCGCTTGCAATTACAAATACACCATGCTAACGAATGTCATTTAACGCGAGATATAGTTAAAGTTTGGCTGCTTTATAATCTTAACATAAAAACTTAATATAATGGACAACTATTCTATAGAGTGACTAACAAGTTGCTCAAGTTTTAGACAGACAACATACTTGTGCTTACGTTCTATCTAAAGGTTTGAGATTGTAAATAAGACATGCTAATGAAAAAACAGGCACTACATCTAGTTAAGGTCTCAGCCTATATATTCTTCTCTGGGTTAAAAGGTTATTCAGTTTACTAATTTCAGCTTTCTAGTAGTTTCTGAGTCTTGGAAGTCTGATAAGCTCAGATTCAGAAGGCTAGTTTGGCTTTTGTCAACTTACGTCATCAATTAGGATGAAAGCGAGATATCCATCTATCAATTAAGGGATGAGTATACTGTGCACCAATTCGTTCTGTTCTACATTACGGATGCGAAACGTGGCCATTAAGAGTTGAAGATACTCGTAAGCTAATAGTATTTGATCACAAACATCTTAGAAATATTTCTCACATCTGCTGGTATCATCGGGTAAGTAAGAGTCAGGTTAGATGCAGGGTATTAGGGAATGCTGGTAAATCAGTTGATGAGGTTGTGAATCTTCATCGACTGAGATGGTTGGGCCACGTGTTATATATGCCCGAACACCGATTACCACGACGCGCAATGCTAACCAGTGGTGGGGATGGTTGGATGGAACTTATGGGCGGCCAACTGAAAACGTGGCATTGGTGCTTGAAGACACTAACTTCTAGTCTTAGTCGTGTGGGTAGATGCAGACTTCTCTTGGTTGGGGTCCTCGTGACTATCGTAACCAATGGTTGGAGACTCTGTGTGATATGACTTAGAATCGATCACAATGGTATAGGTGTGTACAATCTTCGTCTTCCCTTAAACCGTGAGATTAAAATTACTTTATATCTTTCTTTCTACGAACTAATTCTTTCTTCCTGTACTATGTCCTTATATGCAACCTTTCTTTTATATATTACCACCTCTGAATCAACTACTTTTATGAATCCGGTGTTCATTTTGCTGAGCTAATCATGTGTGGCAACTTAGACCGATGCATATATGTGCCTGGTCTTACGTTGTAGCTGACTGACTAATTGACTGAGTCTTCTCACTTCCATAGCCGATTGTAAAACTAAGCTTATTGAAAGTATACGTACCTTTAACTGAATAATATAATTGAAGAATGTGGCGACTATTATGATGGAGTTTTGTTCTCTGAGCTGAATATTTTGGTCTTGGAGCTTTCATCATTCTTCTAAACAACATCATAATCACAATGATGGAAACCATAGTTATTTTGTACTCATTTCCCTTTTTCTTTGTTTCAGTTATCAACTACTTACACAAGGTGATGATACATTTGAATTGATTCAATTATCAAATGAATTAATCAATAATCTACCTTCATTAATTCCATCTACCTCAATTAATAATGATAATAATCAACTAATCTATTCAAATTATAATAGTTTATCTTATAATACACAAATGGAACATCCATTTACTTATCATCAACCGAATACATTATCAACAATAAATCAATTATTACCATATCAAAATCGACCAGAACAATTATATTTAAAAGTTATGAAACCATTAGATTGGGAAACTAAACGTAGCTATCAATTTATATTAAATGCTGAAGATAATGGGTCACCAGCATTTACCGGTGAAATGAGTTTGATGGTAAGTTCTTATTTATACAAAAAAGTGATCATCATCAAGTTCCTGTTATATTTCATGTAATCCTTGATATCGCTTTATAATTTCGTTGTATCAGTTCTATGGAAACTGAGTTGTAAAATTTTATCAAAGATAGATAATGGCAAGCAGTAGAATCCAGTTTGATGCGCGTTTCGTCTTATTTGGGACTCTTCAACTGACTGTACTTGAATCTTAGAGTTGATGTTCACTCCGCGACCCATTGCACAAGCAGGTGGCTATCAGTGCTCAGTTGCTAAGTGGATAACTTGATGGTGTGTGTTCAGGCGAAAGGTACTGGGTTCGAGACACGGAGTGAACATCAACCGTGGGATGCAGATACATGCAGCTGACGAGTCCAAGATAGGTCGAAACGCATATCCTGAATTTTGCTGCTAGCCATCACATATCTTTGCTTAAATAGTTTGTGACTTAAAGCTATATCAATTAAATTCACGCAGGGTGCACATATTCCAACAACAGATTGATCAGTTGCAATCCTAAATAACAATCTAGAGATACAAGTAAAACAACACAAAGTTAATTTAAATGTAACCCCCTTAAAATTGTAAATAACTGACTTGTTAAGGAGTAAAGAATTTTGGCTTGATTAGCTCATGAAACGTTTTAACTGAATATTTACTAAATACAGTCTCACAACAGAACCCCACTGGTCACAGCTTCCTACTAGAACTCCAAGAAACGCATCTTGAAGTCAGTCAGTAGTGAGTAGATGATTATTATCAGAATCCACAAAACCCATTCTGATAAATACATTCTTGCAAACATTTTGTACTGTTCTATGAATGTACTTGAGATCTCATTCTACAAGTTGATATAAGATTGGGAGAAATTGTCAGTAACATTACTTAGTTATTTTCAAAATTTTACATCTGGATCCCCTAAAATGTTTATAAAAACTTCATAATGTTTACTAATTATTATACTAATGGTCTCCAACTTTTAGCGAAATTCCATTACAAAACTAGTTGATAGATTAATCAAGTATAAACACAACACCTACTTGTGTTCAGATGCTATGTCAAGGTCATGTGACATATGATACGGCCGTGAGTTTTTTGTGTCAGCTTTCCTTCTCGAAATGATCTCACATGGCCACGTGCATACAACTACTATCAATGAAGTCATAATCACAACCTCTTCGTGGAAAGGGCGTTGTTCAAGAAATCAAGAGAAGGAAAAGCGAATTTCCGGCGTTTAACCAAGTTGGTGGATATAGTGGATCCACCTAGGAGAGTTGGAAAACCTTGATTCCAAACTAATGATGCACATGAGCTCCAGAATCCTGAAGGAACAAATGGCATATGAAGCAATTATTGGTCAACGACTACCATGAGACTGCATCTTCCGACGTCGCTCCACTACCTTGTGGATTAGATCTTTATGTCGAAGGCTTCGGGTGTAATCCCCTAATGAAAGCACCTGATTTGGTTTGAGCACCTGGGCAGTATCCCATCCCTCTATTTGGTACCTCCTTATATCAATGTTTATGTGTTTAAATAAATAAATAAAAACGACATCTCATAAGTTGTATAGTTTATACATGAATCGAATGGTAAAACTCAATACTAGGCAATTATGAAAGTATGATTTCTTCTATTAAATAATGTAATGTCACTTATATATTTACATCTTAATTTTAGATTATTGTCACTGATGAAAATGATAATCATCCTATATTTCGTAATAAAAGTTTAATGATTAGTGTACCAGAAAATTCACCTGAAGGTTTACATCTTATACAATTAATTGCTGATGATCCAGATGATGGAAAATCTGGTCAAATTATTTATAGTTTAATAAACAATGATGTCAACATTAAACCACCATCATCATCTTCATCATCATTATCATCGCTATCGATTAGTAAGGATCATTCCAATCAACGTCAATTACATAACACTGTATATAATTCTTCAACATTAGGATTAAATAACATGAATACTCATACTACTAATAATAGTAATGAAATGAAGAAAAGCTTATTTGAAATTGATTCTAAAACTGGTTGGTTAATTATAAATGGACATTTAGATTATGAAATATCAAAACATCATCTTCTACGTGTCATAGCTCGTGATCAATCGAATCATCCAGGATTTGATGAAGCAATCATTAGTGTTTATATCACAGATATTAATGATATTGCACCACAGATTACAGTAGAATCAGTAAATCGTATTTCATCAAGTCAATCGATTATTGATAATCATCATAATAATAATAATCAATATAAGAGTAATATATTACAAGTGTATATCAATGAAACTCCTGGACATAATATAATGAATTATAAATTAGAGAATGAATATACTACTCATGATAATTTCTTACCAACTATGATACAATTATTAGCTTTTGTAGTTGTAAATGATCCAGATACTGGTCCCGGTGGTACATTTCAATGTCATTTAGAATCAAATACAATAGACCATAATAATAATAATAATGGTATTAATAAAGCATTTAGATCCAAGTTACATTATTCAACACAATATACAATGAATGAACAAAATCATTATTTGTCATTCATTCCAACTCCTAGTACTAGTACTATTCATAGTACTACTGGTACTATAAGTCAAAGTTCAATTGTTGGAATGTTTCAATTAAATCCAATATCTAATTTCAATTATGAATTAAATACAATTTATGGATTTGATTATGAATTTAGTAAAACAGAATCAGTAAAGGTGAGTTAAATGTTGTTGTTGTTTTTTTTTTATTTGTTTTAAACAGTGTTTTTCAAGGTTATTTATATTAGACGTGAAACGCTTACATGCGAGACCGATAGGTCTTGGGTTTGAATCTTATGAGGCAGAAGCGTCGATGCACACTACTGAGGAGGGCCATTTTGTTTAGTTATTTATTTGAACACATAAATATTGGTACAAGAAAGCACCAAATATATATGCGCCACACGAAGGAATAATGAAATGTATATGGTTGTGGCATACAATTTTCAACCAGGCAATGACTCGAGAACGTTTAGATAGAATCGAGTTCCCACCATAGGCGAGCTGCTGTATAAGTCGAAAAATAAGGATACATAAAGTGGGAATAAAAGAGAGTGAGCAAATGACGTAGTAAATAATAATAACGTGAATCGTTTGACTGCTAATCGAGGCATGTATAGTATTTTCCGGAAGTATTGTCATTTCATTCTGTTTGTGTGTAGGCTGTGATAATGCCCGGGTGCCCAGACCGAAGCATGTGGTTTCATTAGGGGGTCACACCCCGAGCCTTTGATCTAAAGGTCTGATCCACAAGGCAGTGGAGCATCGTGAGGAGATACAGTCCCATGGCAGCCGGTGACCGAGGATTGATTCATACGCCATTTGTTCCCGCAGGATACTGGAGCCCGTGTGCACCATTGGTTTGAGATCTTGTTAAAGCGCCGGACATTCGCTTTTCGTCCTCTCAATTTCGTAAACAACACCCTTGGTGCAAGAAGGTGGTGAGTAGGACTTCCGTGACAGAGGCTGTATACGCGTGGCCGTGTGAGAGCATTTCGAGAGGAAGGGCGGGTTCACCCCACTCTCGTCCATATCAGGGCATTTGGGGGCCATACTAAGACGAAATAGCTGTCTAGTGCTTCTAAGTTTTCTGAGGTGGTAGTTTAGCTTCAAATAACTCATGATCTCAACTATTAAACTTATGTATGTTGTTGTACTTGTTTGCACTTAAATAATTCTGTAGGTGAGACTATAATTTATGTATGATCTTTAAGTGACGCTAAAGTGACCTTTAGAGTGTCCACGTAATAAATAGAACCAAATGGAGGTTACAAACCAATGTAAGGAATTAGAATGATGAATTTCAATTGATGGTTAAGATTAAGAATTAGATCTAGGGTTTTCATTATGAAATGATACCATTTATAATGTCAAAACTCTGTTTAGCCAAATAAATGAGTGAATTTCGCGCCGAAATCCCAGACCTGTTATTTTATACCTGATTGGTTCGTCCATAAATTACAGTCTCGCCAACTTGGTTAATTAAAATGTTAGCTTGTGATGTCATCAAATTTCTTTTTTTATCGCTTATTAGGAAGACGTCGAATAATGTTGTGGAGTAATGTGTTCTTTTTGTGTAACTGGGATTGAATGTTTTATCTAACTGAAATTCGGATCAACAGTACTGTGATAAATTATGCTTTAATTGATATTCGCAATGTTAATCTGTTAAACTAATGTGATAAGTGTTCGATCAACAATCCTTTATCTATATATTTATGAAGTTGTTGTGCTTAAAAACGATGTACTGATTAGCTTGTCACTGGCTAACCTATGCTATTTGTGCTTACTTACTTACTTACACCTGTTATCCCCAATAGCGGATAGGCCGCCGACTAGCATTCTTCAACCCACTCTGTCCTGAGACTTCCTTTATAGTTCTATCCAATACTTGTTCATTCTTCTCATGTTTGTCTCCATTTCTCAGTGTAATGTGTTCCTTGGTCTTCCTCTTCACCTTCTTTGGCCTTGAGGATTCTCAATCAGGGTTTGCCTTGTGATACAGTTGGATGCTTTCCTCAATGTGTGTCCTATCCAGACTAGGCTACAGATGGAGTTCTATGCTACTTGTAACATAGGGTAAATACTTGTCTTTTACCGATCAAAGAGTTCGCCTTACAGAAATTGGCTTTCAGGACCTTTGTAGTCATTAGAATTTGATGATTTACATAATTAATTGTAGGTATACTCGGAGAGCTTTTCCTCTGAACTTTTTGATGAATAGGTTACGGACTGATTGTAAACAGACGAGAGAAAGCCCAGAGTAGGACTTGATTTAAAATACATTTAAAGATAGAGTTTATAAATTAAATACAATCAAGATAAATAGGCTCAAGCTATCCATAACTATTTGTCATAGACATGTTCAGTGTGATATAACTTGATATGAAATGGAAGAAGTAAATCTGAATCAAGTTATATCTTAAAATGGAAATCTTTAATGAAAATCAGACTACAGTGTATAGCAATTACCAAGTATATGAACGAATAACGGGAAGTGTTGTTGTTGTTGTTGTTGGAACTCTGGAAGATGTAGAATCCTTCACATACCTGAAGAGCACCATCGATGAACAGGGAGGATCAGATGCAGTCGCAAAGGCGAGGATTGGCAAAGCAAGGGCCTCATTCCTACAATTTAAGAGCATATGAGACTCAAAACAACTTTCAACTAATATCAACGTCAAAATCTTCAATACGAACGTCATGTCAGTTCTGCTGTATGGAGCTGAAACTTTGAGAACTATTACAACCATCATGAAGAAGCTACAGGTATTTATAAATAGTTGTCTACTCAAGTTACTCAACATCCATTGGCCGGATACCATCAGCAATAGCCTTCTGTGGGAGAGAACAAACCAACTTCCAGCTGAAGAAGAAATTAGGAAAAGACGATGGAAATGGATAGGACATACATTACGCAAATCATCAAACTGCGTCACGAGACAAGCCCTAACTTGGAATCCTGAAGGGAAACGGAAAAGAGGATGACCTAAGAATACATTACGTCGGATAATAGAAGCAGATATGAAAAGGATGAATAACAGCTGGAAGGAGCTAGAAAGGATTGCCCAGTACAGGGTTGGATGAAGAATGCTGGTAAGCGGACTATGCTCCTCCACGAGGAGTAACAGGCGTAAGTAAGTAAGTAAGTAAGCAATAATTTAAAAACATAAAGGATAATGAAACTATTTCTGACAATAATGAAGTGTACACTATTTTAACTTCTATCCATTAAGTTGTAGTCAGTTAATTGAAATTAAGCGACTATAACTATCTTTTATTCATCTATAGTATTCTGTTCAGAATCAGTGTTTCAGAAAAATAAAACAACTTACAGCATAGAAAACTCCACCTGTAGCTCTTATAGGGTTACTGCCGGTCCCAAGCCCGGGTAAAGGAGGAGGGTTGGGCATGGGGTTAGCGTCCCCATCCCGTAGAACACTAACTCGCTAAAAAACGCTTACCAGAAAAAATAATCCAAACCATTTTAACTCTACCCTGGGAGTTAGAAGGTCTTCAGTTAGAAGAATTATGACACTTCATGGTGAAAGTAAGTAAGTAAATAAGTTACAACATAGAAACCACTTACTTGATTATAAGTAAAATTTGAATAAGCCAATACAACTAGTTTTTCATCATGGTAACACTTAGAAAATTGTTATTCACCCTCGGCTAATCATTGAAACTAACGAATATACTCATCACAACTAGGAAAAAGAGAGTTATTGAGAGATAAGTTAATTATTAAATATTATTAACCATCAATATGTACAGGCTTCCATTAAATTGATTCTGAATAAAAGAACACGTTTTATCAATATTTAGTTTACCAACTAAGTAACAAGCTTAGCAACAAAATTTTTTTTGTGTGTGAGCAAAATTGTCTAATAACGAAGTATATATCATTGAATAAATAATACACTTGTAAATAGAATTGAACGTGGTTTCCATCTCTAGTTACTAAGTTATTCTCCTACTCATTTAAATCAGTCATGAGAACTTTATTTCATTATTATGTTATTATGATATTGATTAATATTGAATAAACTGAATCAATAAAAGCGCACAGATAACTTTGAGCTATACAATCGATCAATAAATACATCCGATCCTCTTAATCAAACTACCTCTGATTATGATACAGTGACACTAGAAAACAAGGTTTAATACACGAATATAAGTAAAGATAATTTAATAGTTGAATTTATGAGTCAATTAAAGCTAGATCATCATAGAAAAATTGAAAGTATTAGGTGGCCATTTCGTCTTAGTATAGGACTCTTCAGAAGTATATATCCACGATCATGCATGCAGGACTCGAACCTAGGACCTTCGGTTTCGTGTCCAAAAACTTAACCTCTGTATATCCAATTGTGTGAATATGTAACTTCAATCAATTCACTACTGAGGAGTCCCATACTAAGACGTAACAGTCATCTAGTGCTTCCAGGTTTTCCATGGTGATCTAGCTTTATTTGACTAATGAATTTAATTATTAAACTACTAAAATCTCCACAAAACTCCTTTCTAATAAAAAATAATTAATCAAAATATAACTTCTTTCATACATTCCATAACCAGCTTAAACAAATAATGAAAATGTTATTCTTAATGCTTCACAACGATTCGTTCAACAAGAGATTGATTTATCCAATAAATAAAAGAAACACTTTTTTTCAAACCATTACTTACTTACTTAAGTCTGTTACTCCTCATGGAGAAACATAGGCTTCTCACCAGCATTCTCCATCCAACCGTGTCCTGAGCAATCCTTTTCAGCTCTTTCCAGTTGTTATTCATCCCGTAGAAGAAAAAAAGAACGTCAACCACATTAAACAAATTAAACCGTTTAAACCCTGCCCTTCGAGTTGACAGAAGAATGATGACATTTCAGGATGAAAGCCGAGATTCTTTGGAAATTATGAAGCCGATACCCCTTCTTACAACCATAGTAACAATTTTTACAAGTACATGAAACATCTTTTCCAAACAAAGTAGTAGCATAAATTGACAAACATAAAATATTGAACCGTTGATTAACATTGAAAAAAATTGGTTGATAATTAATTAAACCACATGTATAAATTTTAAGTCAAAATTCTTCTTGTTCTTGTTGTTGTTGATGTTGTTGTCGTACCAAAATTTTTCTTTCATCCTTAATATCAGTTGCTATGCAATATACTTTTTCTCTGTTTTCCTTTTATATCTCGATCTGTCACACACACACACACTCACTTACACATACAGCACACGTACGTACACACACACATATAAGTAATCAATATTGTCGGAGATCTACAATTCACTTTCATTAAAAACAAAAACATGATATGTCCATGCAAAGATCAAATTGGTTTATAGAGATAGCAGATAGAAAAAGTACATTCAGTAAGATGAATTCAAGTGATTCTATATGATTGTAGTAATTTGTAGAACCAAAAAAAAGAAAAAAAAATTGACACAGAGATGATATATATTCAATGAATATACTCGAATATACTAGATATGGGATAGAAATGTATGTTGGATACAGTTGAATTGTTATGTATGTTGTTGTTGTTGGTTTATACTATTGCGTAATCATATAAAATGTCGGTAATGTAAACGTAAATTACTATCAAAATGTAACGCTAAAAAAACTATTACACGTCATGGTTTTGTTTATTTATGATAGTTTGATCAATTTCTTAAATAGGTAAGTAGATAACATGATATCGTTTGAAGCGAAACGGGACTGTGTTCGAGTCCCAGAGTGAATATCAACTTTGAGATGTCGGTACATCATCCAGCTGACGAAAACCAAATAGGATGAAACGCGCTTACTGGATTCCACTGCTAGCCATTATTCATCTTTGCATATAATGTTCGTGAATCAAGACTATATCTAGACAATATGCATAGTATGCATATATGCCAATATGAGACTGATCAATTGCAGTCCTAAACGTCAATGCGAAGATTCAAACAAACAATGCCAAGTGAATTTAAGTACGCAAGTATGTGTAGTTTTACAACATCGACCGAGTTTATTTAGAAAACCATAGAATATAGGAAATCACTAGACAGTTGTGTCATCATAATATGAGACTCTTCCGTGTTGTCTATCAACAAATTATAATCCAAGAAGGTTTTTGTAATTCAATTTAATTGTTGAATTCGTGAGTCGATTGAAGCTAGACCACCATGGAAAACCTGGACGGTGGTGCAACTTCGTGAATTGGTTGAAGTAAGACATTAAAGCGCGCTCACGTACAAGACTGATATATCCTAGGTCGTGGATGCACACAAGTGAGGAGTCACACAATAGGACGAAACGGCCATCCAGTGATTCCAGGTTTTCGATGATAATCTAGCTTCAATTCACTCATGATCTCAACAATTAAACATCAACAAATACACCATATATCGAATACAAAATCTTCAGATTTCCTTAAAGTACTTTAACCATTAAACCCTATGAAATAGCATCCAATCAATTCATAATGTCAAACATTCATAAATAACCAGACACTAGTTCAATAACCCAAACTAGAACACACTGAAGGATCAATATATTGAAATCATGTGGATTCGAACATATTTCAAAGATCAATAATCATTTAGCCATAGTTACTACTTATCTCATATTTCTTGCTACCATCCAACCAATAGTCTGTGTTAGTAATTCACTAAATGTAACTCAGATTTACTTCATTACGTTATTTTTTTAAAAGTTTCTAAAATGAATTGAACTCGTTTTGTTTCACTTGAATTATTTTTCTTTCTGGTTAGCGTTTTTTCTAGCGAGTTATTTTACTAAGGAATGGGGTTGCTAACCGGATTTCCAACCCTCCTTCTTTATCTGGGCTTGACATTGGTAGTGGCCTTAGAGGAGCTCCAGGTGGAGTGGTTTTGTTTTACTTACAATGTGATATTTTTTCTCCCCTTATATCCTTCATAGACACAGTTTTCTTTTGTTTTTGTTTTTCTCTCAATACATTCAACAGATTGTATGCAGTGATAATGGGATACCAAGTCTTACATCTAGTTATGTGATTAAAGTTATTGTACAAGATTTAAATGATAATCCACCAGTTTTTACAAAAGATTATCATAATGTAAGTTGCATTTTATTGTTAATCTGAATTAGTCACTATGTGAATTTTTTTCTTGTTTATGTGTAAAACATATTTGAAGAGAAAAGTTGTCTGTATTTCTGGTTTCTAGTTATATAATATAGATATATATGTAAACAGATTGAAATCAGTCCTAGGCAGGATATTCACTAAATGTATTCTTATAATGAATAGTGAATTACAGTTAGGGTTTTCATCAAGAAGTGATATCGTGGTGTATTGCTTATATTAACATAAGTGTTATATATCTATGTTAGTCAGGATTAGAATGTCTGACAGAAAAGGGTCAAGAAGATCGAGGACGGAAAGAACGGTAACAAAAATAAATTAATATGGAAATGCAGGAACAATGAAGTTTAAGATCATTGACTGATATTTACAAAAAGAACAGATAAGTTTGAGACAATTGATTGACAGTTTGCAAATTAATTATTCACTGTATGATTCTTAGATTTTACCAAAGATGTTCTGTAATGTCGTATTCGAACACATTCGACTGTTACCACTTGTGATCTCGTGTAATAAAGTAACAACTATAATCCCGAAACGCTGTTTAAATATACGGATGGATAAATTTTGGTTCATAATCCAAGACTGGTCACCTTAAATCTGATAAGCAGGAATTATGTTTTTTTGAATGAACTAATAGGCATGATAATTAGTCTTCAATGACAATATTAACACAGTTTCAAATACATTACAACTCATGAAACTGGAATTTCAAAGATGGATATTGTTCATGAAACACTTGAGAAGTAACTTCAGTGGTTCCTCATTTGTAATCGCGATATCTTGCAGTAATTGTTTAATGGTTTTCCTATTCGAAATCCACTAGTTTGCTATGTAGTATAAATCTGAATCTTCATGAGATTATCTAAGTAAATAATAGTTACTTACTTACTGATTACTGGTTGAAAGATGCATTATTTGAAGTCACATACACTTTGAAGTTAATTACGATAGAAGTAATTCATTAGCTCAACGATCGATGGTTGATGTGAGTGTATATTAAAAAAAAAGAAACTTCTACTGTACGAAGCTGAAACTTGGAGAACTACTACAACCATCATCAAAAACGTAAAATTATTTATAAACAGTTGTTTACGCAAGATATTCAATGTCAGTTGACCAGATACCATCAGGAACAACCTACTGTGAGAGGGAACAAATCAGATTCCAACTGAAGAGGAAATTAGGAAAATACGATGTAAGTGTATAGGAAACACGTTGACGAAATCATCAAACTGAACCACGAAGCAAGCGCTAACTTGGAACCGTGAAGGGAATCCGAAAAGTGGAAGGTCAATGAACACAATGCACCGAGAACTTGAAGCAGGCATCAAAAGAGTCAATGGCAATCGGAAGGAGGTGGAAAGAATTGTCCAGGACAAAGTCGGATGAAGAATGTTGATGGGTTGATGTTTAACACGACAAGATCTTCCATTACAAACGGAATATAACTAGATAAACCATGAAAACGAATTCGAGAATACTCATATCAATTAGTCAGTCAGTAAAAACGTAGAACTTCGTAAGTACGTATATCAGTTCAAGTTGCCACACAACATTAGCACAGAGATACAATTGTCAATTCAAATCCCATAGTGCTAGATGTAGTAAGAGTATAAGCAGTAATCGCAAACATTAGGGTTTGAAGATGTTATTGAAGGAGTATAATCCAGTGAAGTAAATTTGAAAAGAATTGAGATTATTATTTAGGAGAACACAAATAGTGGATGCATCTGCGCGATTGCAAACGACTTTGGGCCATTTCATTCAAGGTATCTAACCATCGGTTGCTATCTTCTTGCGATTCCAACCAGGTAGTCTACACCTACCAATATAGCTCAGTTCACTTGTCAGTGACTTCGTCGAATTGTGCCATGTTTTGGCCTGGCCTCCCTCCTAGCTTTCTTTCAACCTACTCCTAATCCAAAAAACATCGCTCGTCGGAGCAGTCGGTGGTTGGGCATACGTAGCACCTGAAAGCGTGATCCCAGAGCCCAAGGGACAACTGCTTGAGGCCGGTCGCGCACGGCCAGGGTCGACCACGTTCTTCCTTGTGAGAAGGCAGCACCGCTGTAGATGCTGGTTGCCCAAGGGAAACACTTTACTGCTGTTACTCACCTCTACAGTCAGCAATACGACTACACCCTCAGACCTTAAGTTGCTGCTTTTAGTTTTACCGTTCTCCAATCGACCTGTCTGGCATGGTTGAACCTACAAGAACATATGTTCCAGCCAATATAGCTCGGTTGGGTCGTCACGATAGGCAAGCTCGACCACCGTTAGAAGGTAGCAGCTACACTCTAGATATATAGACAATTCATTTACAATAAAGCTTAAAGGCTATAAGTTCTATGCATATCACTGTTGTCGGCTCACACTAATAAATAATTCTGAACTCAAATGAAAGAACTGATCCTCTACTTCCAGTATATCATTGATTGCTTATCTGGAAATTTCTTTACATATATGTTATCTGTATCATCCTATTTTGTATGACTTTGAATGTATACATGTATTTACTTATTAGAATTTCCTTATATAATACAAAACATTTAACAAAAGCACTTTATTATTACACTTAAAAGTAAACTTACTATTTTCTGTTCTATTTCATTTTCATATTACGTTTGATTTTGGCTCCAAATGAAATTGTAATTAATTAGTTAATTACCTATCAATGTCTAATTCATTTTCAGGCTTTGTTCATTTAATTTTAATTATTCCCTAAACTATGTGGCTACCATGTTGTTGCCTAAATTTATCGAATTAAACTATTGTAGAACAGTAAAATAATCTTGCCAGATTCTTACTTTGTATGATGTAATACAAGATTTTCTTTTTAACCAAAAGAATTACGTTCATAGGTTGTCAGGGCTATATAACTTAATATTACTTAATATTTTTGTAAGCAATGATGGATATTGGCTAGCAATGGAATCCAGTTTGATGTGCGTTTCGTCTTATTTGAGACTCGTCAGCTGGATACGTTGATGTTCATTCAAGGAATCGAGTCCATTGCTTTTCACTTCAGGCAAGTGTCTATAAGAACTCAGTATCTAAGTGAAGAACGTGATGATGTTTCAAGCGAATGGTATTGGGTTCGAGTCCCAGAGTAAACATCAACTATGAGATACGGGTATATCCAGTTGACGAGTCCCAAATAGAACGAAACGCTCGTTCTGGATTCCACTGCTAACCACTATCCATCTTTGATTAAAAAGCTTGTGACTTAAGCCTATATAGAGGTAACCCACACAGGATGAATATATTCCAATAAGAGACGTATCTTCCCATTGTTATTTAGGACTGAAATTGATCAAAGTGAAGCAACACCAAGTGAATATATATCAGTTAAGATATGACAATATTTATTATGCAACTAATCATCTGTTACTTAATTACTTCATTACTTCATTATGATATGGTTATATATAGACTTTTGTTTTTCCTTATTAATATTCTAATAGTTTTTTGTTCAAGAGAATAGTCCAATCAATACATTGATTAATAAAGTAATTGCAACTGATGCAGACAGTGAAAAGAATGCCGAAATTAAATATCAACTTAGTCAAGATGGTGAAGAATACTTTACTATTAATCAATTAGATGGAACTATTTATACAAAAATAATATTTGATAGAGAATTAAAACAAAAGTATGTTATATTTTCAGTAATCATATTTATTTAAGCTATTGAAGAAGCGTTTTTGCGTGAGATGATTATATATGAACAATCTTTATGAGACTCTAACTCGACCTTGAGAATATCCACCTACTTACTTAGTTATTTACGCCTGACACTCCCAATGGAGCATAGGCCGCCGATCAAACACACTCTGTTCTCCATTTCTCGGTGTAATGTGTTCTTTGATCTTCCTCCTCTCCTTTGACCTTGAGGATTCTGTGTCAAGGCTTGCTTTGTGACATAGTTGGATGCTTTCCTCAATATGTGTCCTATCCACTTCCAGCAATTATTTCTGATTTCTTCCTCCATCGGGATCTGGTTTGCTCTCTCCCATAGTAGGTTGTTGCTGATAGTGTCTGTCCAACGGATCCGAAGTATTTTGTGTAAATAACTGTCAATAAACATTTTTGTCTTCTGTATGATGGTTTTTGTAGTTCTCCAAGTTTCCACCTCATACAATGGAACTGTCTTGACATTTATATTGAAAATCCTGATCTTGGTGTTGATTGACAAATAGTTGTTTCGAGTTTCAGATGTTCTTCAATTGTAGAAATGCTGCCACTGCTTTACTGATCCACTCCTCCACATCTGCATCAGATCCATGGTGTTCGTCAATGATGCTGTCCAGATATGTAAATGTCTTTTACATCTTCCAATGTTTCTCCATCAATGTGATTCGATTGGTGCATTCTGTGTTGTATCAGAGAATCTTGCTATTCATCCACCTACTAATTAGAATTAAATGAGAGTTATAAATCAGTGTGAGTAATTAGGATTATAATTTACAGTTGATGGTTAAGGTTAAGAATTAGATTTTTGGTTTTCGTCAGGAAATCCCAAAGACCTATTTCGCTAAATGGATGCGTGAATTACGCGCCATAATCCAAGACCTATTTTCTTGAATCTGATTGGTTTATCCATAAGTTATAGTCTCGCCATTCGATTTCACTTATTCTGATAAAAACATGCACAGTAATTATTAAAATGAGTTGTATCAATCATTATACTGACTAAATTGAATATATCTATTATTTAGACACAGAGTATCAAGGAAATGATACGAATGATTCTCATTTATACTACATACCTATTGATGTCTAATGATAAGTGATTGCATTACGCGACTTTTCATCACAGAATTCACACTTGATTCGATAAATCAACAAAGTTTCTACAATAGATCAGTTTTTAATCTGTTCTTGAAGCTGGATATCTACTGATCAGCAACACTCTGATGAAAATCTTTCCATATACTGTCAATAATGTGATGCCTCTGTAGTTTTCATATTTGCTCAGATCTGCTTTCTTTAGTATTTTGATGGGTTATCCTTCTTTGTTCTTCCTCCCAAATATTCCTGAATAAAATGTAAAGCATGCTTACAGATACTTATATGTTTGACTTCAGAGATTCAACTGGTATATTGTCAGGTTCTGTTGATTTCCCACACTTGATTTATCTGATAGCCATCCAGATTTCTTTGATCGTTAATGGAATGACATCTATAGGAAGGTCTGTGTGTGCTGATTTGATGTGCAGCTGGTTCAGTTGGAGTGGCCTATTCAAGAGTTCTTCATAGTGCTCCTCCTCCCTTCGTTTCGAAAGTACTGACCACAAGATATATATTGTACACTGAAAACCGTATGCACAACTAAGGCAACATCTTTCGAAATACATAAATCAAGTCCTATTAACTAAAAAGATATTCTGTCTTTTGAAATGTATTTATTGTGTGACTTCATATCAAATATTCCGATTTGTGAATCATATTACTCAATGAAATTTAGTTTATACGATCAACTACATAAACAATACTATTTACCATCAATTTCCAATCCATTGGTTGCCCCTTCCAGCCAAATAAGTTCGTAAAGCCTAGTAGGCCCTTCTGGAGACAAACAGGCCACATCGAAGCACGGCACAACTACCGGGACTAGAATAGGTGTTTTCGCAACCGGTTTGAGTTTGCCTCATAAGGAGCAATCCCGTACATTACATATACCACTTTTGTGAATTTTTTGTCATTTTTCAATCCAAGAGTAATTGTGCTGTGATTCTTTGTGGATTTCGTAATCAGTTTGACGGTATCGATCGAGTGGGTGATTAGCTCGATCTCTGCCACCCAGATTACCGCTCACGTTAGTTCATGAGTCATCCGTCCCACTATCCAAACGGTAAGACGCGGGTTTTGCCTCCCTGCAATCCATTAAAAAATATATTTAATGATAGTTTACAATATAAATCAAAGCTTATTATGGATCCCAATTCAAAATAAAAGCGGCCTGCTTGAATATCTGGGATATTTGTTCCTGACATTTAGATATTTCAACAAGTTATGCCTTTTGTTTATTTCAACTGATCACTATATTAATGAATTAGACAAACTATTTAGGTGTGTTTATGAATTAGTTCATAACCTTTCTCTGTACAAGTTAGGAAAGAGCGCAATCAGAGACATCGTGGTCACTGGTAATATGCATTGAAGAGAATCAGTATTATTGAGATATCGATTCCTAAATGACTAACATCTAATTGACGATCATTCAATATGTTATTGTTAGGATTGATCAAGAAATTTAGAAATGGAAACTTGTTGAAATACTTTGTGCTAAGAATTTTATATTATACTGAATACTTTCAATATGTTTATGTATTTATATAATTGATGAGTCACAAGATGGACGTTAGGTACTTTGTAGTTTTTATCATTAATAATTAATAATCGTATTGATAACGAACTTTTACTTATTAACACTAAAGACCACTACTCGATCTCAGACTGACATTGATAACTTGGAAGTATTGGATGGCCGTTTCGTTTCAGTATGAGACTTCTCAATAGTGTGCATTCATGGTCCTGCGCACGGGATTTGAACCCAGGACTTTTGGTCTCACGCGCAAACGTCTAAACTTTAGATCACTGAGCTGGCATCCAACGATGTTCATGTTTAGTGCTTCCCGGTTTTCAATGGTGGTCTAACATCGATCGGTTCATGATCTCAAGTTAAAAATACTCAACAATCACCACAACTCTATACTGATAATTATCACGTGCTCATTAGTGACTAACTTGAAGATGGATTTTCTGGAGTTCTAGTAAGAAGCCATGATCAGTGGAGTTCAACTGTGTTTGATATGAGGCAATTAATCAATGAAGACCATGAAGGGCGATAGCGAAATATTGTGGAAAACCAATAATCGATAAATTTGCCATTTGCTCCCTTAGGATCCTGAAGCTCATTTTCACCGTTGGTTTAGAATTAGGGTTTTCTAACTCCCCATTTGTGGAACCTTCAGATCCACTAACACGGTTAAAGTGCCGATCATTCGCTTCTCGTTATCAGCAAGGTAATATCCACAATCCTGAGGGAACTAATTCTTTTCATGAAATCCATGTTGTCATAATCGAATTATCAAACGATTTTCACTGATATCTTCTTTAATTTATTTTTTTTTCTTGTTAAGTTATCGATTTCAAGTCTATGCCAATGATAATGGTCAACCGATTGCATTAACAGCAACCACTACAATTGAAGTGACTATTGTTGATGTTAATGATAATACACCAATGTTTGTCGGTTTAGATCGAGATAATTGTTATCATTTCCGTATAGCAGAAAATCAACCACCGAATACATATGTTGGTATGTTAAAAAAAATTTGATATATACATGTTAATCTGGTTAGTGTTCTTTTATAGCAAGTTAATTTTCTACGGGATGGTGTCGCTAACCCCATACCCAACTGTCCTCCTTTATAAGGGCTTGAAACCGGTAGTAGCCCCAGAGTGACTCCAAGATGAGTTCATCTGTAATAGTTATTTGAAAGATCTTTTGCGATTAGTTGTTGTTAAGCACTTTGTTTATACAAGATTTCCTTTTGATTGTACTATAATGTAAACTGATAATGCAAAATGCAGTTACAATATATCATAAATTAGGTTCGATTTCATGTTGAAATGTTGAGTAGCCATCACTTAAGAGCTATAAATTGACATGGAAATTTTGTATCCAGTACTTTATTACTGATATTGATTGGTTCTTTACTCATTACAATTTACATTTCTTGTTATTCAACATTCTCATTTTGAATGGGTAAATATCTAGAAACAATCTATATGATATACCGACCTGAGTTTTATCATAGTATCATCAGACATCAGTAGGGTATGCTTTGTAAACGTTAAAAAAACGTTATTTGCGTGTGGTATATATAGATGTAAACCAAAATATCTCAGCTACTATCTAGTTGCCAATATATGAATGTTGTACATAACTATGTTGCTATCAGATGGGGGTTTTGTGGAGATTTTAGCCATTTTATAATTGATATCATGAGTCAATTGGAGCTAGACCACCATGGAAAACCTATAAGCATTGGATGACCGTTTCGTCCTACTGTGGGACTCCTCAACAATACACATCCACGATCTCACCCCGTGAGATTCAAACATATGTAGTTCAATCAAAAATCTAACTTCAGATAATGATATAAACAACAAGAAATGTGAGTGATTTAGAGTATATGGTTCAGGTCATTGAAACTGGTTGAATTTGATTAGTTGACTTAACTAGTACTCATTTAATTGATAATTTTTTTAAAAATGTATCACATTCTTGGTTCAATAGAAAACTTGATTCATTTTTCTGATTGAATTCATCTGCAACTATATACTCTTCTAATGAATTTGAGTTGGTTTACTTCACTGAAAGTCATTTTTTTGCAAAAAATATATATAATACTTATGTTACCGCTTTCAATGATTACTTACTTACTTACTTACTTATTTACCTACGCCTACTACATCTGATGGAGGAGCATAGGCCACTTACCACCATTCTTTATCCAACTCTATCTTGGACAATACTTTTCCAATTGTTATATATATCTTACATTGGTTAACGCTCACAATGATTACTTACTTCATTCCCTATGTCTGTTACCTCTCATGAAGAAACAAAGGCCACTTATCAACATTCTTCTATCCAACTCTAACTTGGACACTTCTTATCCAGTTGTTTCCAATCGCTATTCATTTAAATTGACCAACAAAATGTTTCTAGGTTTTTCGAATCAGATTTAAAAGATAAATCGTTTTTTTGTCGAATAAATTCTATCTTATTTCCTTTACGTAACTGTTAGATTCTGGTTCATGTTAAATGACATAGAGTGTTGTAGTTTATGACAAGTGATATCATAAAATGTTATAGTTTTAAATTCACTTAATATTGTTTTACTTGTATCAGTCACTTGTTGGCATATGTGCATACTGTGTAGATTGTCTCAATATAGCTTTATGTCACAAACTTTTTAATCAAAGATGAATAGTGTGGTTAGCAGTGGAATCCAGAACGAGCGTTTCGTTATATTTGGGACTCGTCAGCTAGATATACCTGCATCTCAGTGTTGATGTACACTCTGAGGCTCGAACCCATTACTGTTCGCTTGAAACATCATCGCTTTCTCTACTTAGCTACTGAGTCCTGATAGCCACCTGCTTGTCCAGTTGTTGTTTAGGACCGATCAGTATCTTATTGACGTATGTACATCCTGTGAGGATTGCCTTGACACAGTTTTTCATTAAAAAAATATGTAAAAGATTTACTTTTTATTTAGATAAGTGAGTTTCGTCATTTTTACCTGAGTTTGTTTTTTACAGATGAGTTAAGTATTAGGTTTGTAAAAATAAATAATGGATCTGGATGACAGTATTAGTTTCAATGATTTGTAGTCGATGATGTGGTGTGTACTATTGATGTTGACAGATATAAGTAGTATGTAACATCAATCAAAAGTGAAATTTTCGGTGGAAGAAGGTTAAGAAGATCAAAGGAAAAAACAATTAGAACAGAGAGTGATTGATGTGGAAATAAAGGGATAACGAATTCCGAGCCGCTTGATTGACATTTTGCAAATGAAGTATTAACTGAATATTTCTCGGATTTTACTATTTATCTGTTTATTTATTTAAACACATAAACATTGGTACAAGGAGGCACCAAATAGATATGCACCACATAAATCATTCGATTTGTGTGAGGGTTGGAATACTGCCCGGATGCCCAAAACCAAGCAGGTGTTTTCCCTAAAGGGCCAAGCCCGGAGCCTTCGACATACAAGTACAATCCACAAGGCAGTAAAGCAATTACAGGAGATGTAGTCCCATTGTAGCCGGTAACCAACGATTGGCTCATAAGCCATTTGTTCTTTCAGGATACTGAAGCCCATGTGTACCTTTAGTTTGTAATAAGGGTTTTTCAATTACCTTAGGTGGACTCTTCGTGTCCACCAACCCGGCTAGATGCTGGACATTCGCATTTTGTCCCCTCAATTTTGTAAACAACACTTCCGCCGCGAGAAGGCAATAAGTAGGACTTCCCTGGCAACGGTTGTATGCAGATTTTACTGTCATTTTGTAATTTTGTATTCAAATACATTCAATTGTTCCCACTTGTGTTCTCGTTCACTATAATGGTAGTGAAGAACTATTGTGAACTGGTGCAAAGTATTTTAGTGAGTTATCTTCAAAATAAGGTTTATGAATCAACTCAACATGCCACATTTCGTATTCACACACTGTGGATAAAAATATTCGCACGTATTTCTAGTCAGATATCATACCCGAGACGTTCAGATAAATTTATATGGCTCAACTTAATAATCAGTGACTGGTTTTATAGAATATATATCTCGCGAGACGTGATCGTGGATGCGCACTACTGTGGAGTTCCATACTAGGATGAAACAGCCGTCCAGTGTTTCCACAAAACCCTTCTCTGATAAGAATTTATATGTTTCTTCAGAAGCCTATTTTAAGAAATATTATAAGTCTAGGAAAACTATAGTTAAATATTCATAGCTCATGTTCAAATCCCTGAAGAATGAAAACCCTTACGTTAATACCGCTAATTCTAAATCACCCTGTGTTTTTCAATCAAAGACTTCATTTAGAATAAATATACCAGAACGGGTTTTATGGATATCATAGTAATTTTAACAGCTGAATTCACGAATCATTTGAAGCTAGACCACCACCATAGAAAACCTCAAAGCACTGGATGGCCGTTTCACCCAAGTATGGGACTCCACAGTAGTACACATTCACAATCCCACCTCGCGAGATTCAAACCTGGAACTTATCAGTCTCGCTGACAAACGCTTAACCTTTAGACCACTGAATTGGTATCTAACTTCAAAACAAGCAATTTATTGAACTGATTACATAACTAAATCTAATTACATCTAACTAGTATTGTAATTTATTATTATGTAATACTATCTAAACTAAATTTCCTTCATTTTTTTGTTCAAAATCATTTTTAAGTATATAATATCTATCACTGAATATACATTTTTGGCTCCATATCATAATAGGAGACAATAGTTACAACCAAACTAATATAAATTATACATTTCAAGCATCAATCTCTTATTACATAATGAAATTACAATAAATAATAATTAAAAAAAAGAAAAGAAAAGAAAAAAGAAAAAGAAAAGGAAGAAAGAATTAGTTATTTTTGTATTGATTTAAGTAGTAGCTTTAGTTTCTATGTTTAAAATTAATATAGGGTAAATAGAGAGAAAAAAAGAGAAAAAAGAGAAAAAAGAAAATAAAGGAAAAACAACAAAAAGAACTGAATACTCTATTTGTTTTTTTATAACTAACGTTTTATCATAATAGTAAATGTGTAATTAATCAATTGTAGTTTTCGCATTATTTACTTTCTTATTAGTAGTATATATAGTATGTATTTATGTGTATAGATTATTATTATTATTATTATTTGTGTTTAAAAATGGTGCCATATATACATTATAGAAAGATAAAATATTCTACCAATTAAATCAAAGCTTTATGGTTATTTAAAATGTTGTTAACAATTAAATATAGTATAGTGATATGCTTGGTTCTATGTTGTAGTTAACGGCCCCCAAATGCTCTGGTACGGCCGTGAGTGGGGAGAGTCCGCTCTTTCTCTCGAAATTTTCTCACATGGATACGCGTATATAGCCTCTTCCAGGGAAGTTGTACTCATTGCCTTCTCGTGGTGGGGGTGCTGTTCACGAAATTGAGAGGACAAAAAGCGAATGTCCGGCGCTTTAACCGGGCTGATGGACATCGAGAGTTGAATAACCTTGGTTCCAAACGAATGGGAACAGACGGCGTATAAACCAATCGTTGGTCACCGGCTACTACGGAACTGCATCTCCTTACGATGCTCCACTGCCTCGTGAATCAGTCGTTCAGGTCAAAGGCTCCGAGTGTGGCCCCCTAAGGAAACCAACTGCTTCGGTCTGGGCACCCGGACAGTATCACATCCCTCACACATATCAAATGGTATCTGTGTGGCGCATATGTATTTGGTGCTTCCCTAGATCAATATTTATGTGTTAAAATAAAATAATAAAATGTAGTTAACTGATAGTTAGTGATGTGCCAATCAACGTTTAAGCATGATTAATAGAATTTCTTGTTTTTTTTTAAAAAAACAAGAGGGTTACTTTAATATCAACGATATGAGAGTATAGCTTATGGACGACCTTTAAGCGACACTAAATTAACCTTGAGAATGTTCATCTCTTATCTACGACTAAATAAGGATTATAAACTATGATAAAGAACTAGATTAAGATTAAGAATTAGATTTATGATTTTTATCATTAACTGATATCAACTATAATGCCAAAATGATATTTTCCTAAATGTATGAATAAATTTCACTTTAAAATTTGAGACTTGTTATCTTAGATTTGATTGGTTCGTCCATAAATAATAGTCTTGTCATATCAACTTGTATAATCATCACCAGCATTAGTGATTTGTTGTTGGTTACACAAATGAAGAAACATGACAGTTAAAATTTGTTTGTTTGTTACTTTGTCAAATTTTAATGTGAATGAATTGGAGAAAGATATTATGAGTTGAATGATGAATAGCACTAATAGGTCCTGTGTTCGAATCTCGCAAAAGAGATGAGGTATCGTGGATGCACACTATTGAGGAGTCCCACAATGGGACGAAACAATCGTCCAGTTCTTCCAGATTTTTCATAGTGATGGTTTAGCTTCAATTGATTCATGATCTTAACTAATAAAAAGTATTGTAATATCCATAAAACCTGTTATGATTTGTTATTCGCTTGAATGCTATTACTGATGCGTCTTACTCAACGAACGAAGGATCAGTGACTCAGTGACTCGATAGCTATTCTGGTTCGTTGTCCCCCAACTCTGCTAACTCGATCAAGAAGTCTGGGTAAGGTGTAGAAGTGTATTCTGCAGACACACAGCAGCTAACAAGTCAAGTCAAACACACAACTCACGCGTATTTATACAATATTTACAATCGATATTGTCATAGAAAAAATTTAAACACATTTAATCGATAGTTCATCAATTGACCTATTTGCACATCTAATTGATAGGTTCATAAACTGACTGCTATACAAACATTTAATCAATAAGTTGATCGATAAGATAAAATTTAAAAATATGAGTTTGGGGATCTATCATCCCCAACAAAACCCCCTCTTTCTAAAATAAGTTATTTGTTATATGATTTTATAAAGAATTTCATGTATTTTAATTGTTGTTATTTTATTATAAACTCAGTACAGTTTGAAAGAAAAAAACAACGGTATATTGGGTATTGAATAATTGCTGAGTAACATTGTAAATTTACTAAAGTTGAAAATGTCAATTATAAGATGTTGACTTAACTTTTTGATTGTTTTTATTTAAATGATTCATATATGGTAAAATTAAACTGGTTTACTATATGATTGTTAGTCAGATAAATTACCTCACAGACTGAAATCATGAGTTGATTGAAGCGAGACAACTATGGAAAACCTGGAAGCACTGGTTGGTCGTTTCGTCTCAGTAGTAGGCTCCCCAGCAGTGGGCATCCACGATTCCGCATCCCGCGACGATTCGAACCCACGACCTATCAGTTTTGTGTGCGCTTGTGCGCTTAACTATTAGACAACTGAGATGTCCGGCATCCAATGGTGTTAATGTCTAACTTCAAACAATCCACGAAGTTTCACAACGGTCTACCATTGTTTTTAGTGAGTTGATAACTCACAGCAGACCTGATTGAACTCTACTGGTAATGGCTTCTCACTAGAACTCCAGGAGTATCTCTTGAAGTCAGTCACTAGTGAGCAGATGATTATTTTCAGAAGGGGTTTGTAGAGATTGGATGCCGGTTCAGTGGTCTAGTTGCTTAAGCGCCTGGTGCGAGACTGATAGGTCCTGAGTTCGAAACTCGCGGCGTGTGGGATCGTTCATGCGCACTTCTGAGGAGTCTCATACTAGGATGAAAGGCCGTCCAGTGCTTCCCAATTTTCCATGGTGGTCCAGCTTCAATTGACTCATGATTTAAATCTGTGAAATTTCTAAAATCTCCAAAAACCCCTTATAAAGATAAATTATGTATTACTGTGAATGACTGATCAATTCCAATGACGAAGAGGTTAACCTTGAAATTTAGAAAAATTCAATAGTATTTATTGATTAAATAAACACAATAGATATAATGATTCGACTCAGGCTTATCGATTCTAGGTACGATCTATCTGGAATGTTCCATGTGTGCACTACAGAAGTGTCGTATTATCAGAATGAATCGATCCAATCAACAGTTATCTAACTAAAGTCAGTCAAAAATCATTGTTACTTAGTAACAATCAATAGTAATAGATTTTTAAGTTTATTACAAGTTTCAAATTGGTTAGGATAAAAGTGTATTTTAATATTAAAAATAATTTCGAATTGCAAAATTGTTGATCTTGTCAACTACTTGACATACAAGTTCACCAACTATCATAATCCCTTAAAAAAACGGTAACACAGTCATAGATACATAGCTAACAAGAATAACAAATTACAAATGCTAAAGTAAATATATAATTATAGTTTGGACAGTATGATGATGATGATGATGATGATGATGATGATGATGATGATGATGATGATGATGATGATGATGATGATGATGATGATGATGATGATGATGATGATGATGATGATGATGATGATGATGATGATGATGATGATGATGATGATGATGATGATGATGATGATGATGATGATGATGATGATGATGATGATGATGATGATGATGATGATGATGATGATGATGATGATGATGATGATGATGATGATGATGATGATGATGATGATGATGATGATGATGATGATGATGATGATGATGATGATGATGATGATGATGATGATGATGATGATGATGATGATGATGATGATGATGATGATGATGATGATGATGATGATGATGATGATGATGATGATGATGATGATGATGATGATGATGATGATGATGATGATGATGATGATGATGATGATGATGATGATGATGATGATGATGATGATGATGATGATGATGATGATGATGATGATGATGATGATGATGATGATGATGATGATGATGATGATGATGATGATGATGATGATGATGATGATGATGATGATGATGATGATGATGATGATGATGATGATGATGATGATGATGATGATGATGATGATGATGATGATGATGATGATGATGATGATGATGATGATGATGATGATGATGATGATGATGATGATGATGATGATGATGATGATGATGATGATGATGATGATGATGATGATGATGATGATGATGATGATGATGATGATGATGATGATGATGATGATGATGATGATGATGATGATGATGATGATGATGATGATGATGATGATGATGATGATGATGATGATGATGATGATGATGATGATGATGATGATGATGATGATGATGATGATGATGATGATGATGATGATGATGATGATGATGATGATGATGATGATGATGATGATGATGATGATGATGATGATGATGATGATGATGATGATGATGATGATGATGATGATGATGATGATGATGATGATGATGATGATGATGATGATGATGATGATGATGATGATGATGATGATGATGATGATGATGATGATGATGATGATGATGATGATGATGATGATGATGATGATGATGATGATGATGATGATGATGATGATGATGATGATGATGATGATGATGATGATGATGATGATGATGATGATGATGATGATGATGATGATGATGATGATGATGATGATGATGATGATGATGATGATGATGATGATGATGATGATGATGATGATGATGATGATGATGATGATGATGATGATGGTGATGATTGTGTCATGTTCGGTGCAGGGTAGTTTTTAATTTTTATTTTGTGGTAAACTTGAAGCAACGAATTACAAATGGTTAATTATTTTTTGATCAAAAATGACTCATCTAATATATAACAAATCGGGGACTGATTAATATTAATGAATATAATGTAGTAGTTAGTACCAGTTTGACAGTCAAGCTCTTCATTGAATTGTTTGTTGATGTTTTAAGTAAGTGCTCCGAAAAAAAATATACTATCAAAGCCCGTTACCACTCCTGGAGTATTGACTACCGATTTTACAACTTATTCTATCATATACCCTACTTTCCAGTTGTTTTCACGACTTATTCATTTAGTTGATGTCAAACCTTCACTCTCTAGTGCAATATGTTCTTTGGCCTCCTTTTTTAATTGGTCGTCAATATTCCAAGTTAGAGTTTGCATCTTGAGAGAAATTGATGTTTTTCATAATGTATGTCTTATTCACCTACAGAGTATTTTCCCAATTTCTTCTTCAATTGAAAGCCGGTTTGTTCTCTACCACAGTAGATCGTTGCTGATGATATCTGGTTGAAGGATCTGGAATATTTTTACTGGACGGTCTTTTATAAATATCCGTATCTTTTTGATGATGGTTGAAGTAGTACTTTAAGTTTTAGACTCCTACGTATTTTAGAACTTCTCTATCAAATATGATTGGATTAATGCCCTCTATGTTGTACATTATAGTCTTAATTTCGCCCATGTGAATACTGAAACCTACTGTTTTGGAAGCTGTTTCTACACTGACTGTCTTCCTCTACACTGATTATTGTGCACAGGATAGAAAAGTTAAGTTTCTCGGAAGGTCCGAACCGTTTAGCTATATCCAAGCTACCTAATGTACTCCATGCTTCTCCTGTAACTTAGAGGTTTCATAACCTAGTCAATCACTAAAAGAAAGAGTGAGAACAAGAAGCTTGGTTTAACACTGGTCTTTACTTAAAACGAGTCTATGAGCCTCTCTTTAATTGTAAGATTTCCATGATAGTGACAATCATCTCAGATACTCCATAGTGTCAAACAATATGGTTGCTAAACCAATGCTCAACTCTACTCATTTACCTTTACCTTTGTACCACCAGTAACAGTAGATGAACTTAAGATGAAGCTATATTAAGTGTCCAATTCTATGATGGAACAGCTTTCTATAGCACTGCAACTGAGATCAATCTATGACGAAGACTATTTAAAAACCTACTTCAGTGAATTAATAAACATTGATTATATAAATGTGATCTTTCATTTGATTTCATTCACTTATCAAACTTTTTAAAAAATATTTTTTAGGTATCCTACTTGGTACCGATAATGATATTGATGAAAATGCTCAATTACATTTTCGTTTACTTGGTACAACATCTTATTTTAGATTGAATAGTTCCACTGGAGAAATAACAACTTTACAATTATTAGATCGTGAAAAACAAGCAAATTATGAATTAATTGTTTTATTAATTGATCATGGTAAACCATCACGTTCAGCAACAGCTAAAGTTCATATACATGTAACTGATACAAATGATCATGATCCAATTGTTGTATTTCCAGTTAATGGTAAAGGTAATATTAGTGTATCTTATCGGGAACCACCAGGTGAAGTAAGTAGAATTGAATTAATCTTTTAATAACTTTGAAACAAAGATGAATGATAGTTAGTAGTAGAATCTAGGACCCATGTTTCGTCCTATTTCGAACTCTTCAGGTGGATGTATCTGAACCCAAGAGTTGATATTCACTCCACTATCCATCTCTGTCTCAAATGCTTGTGATTTCCTGGAAATATTGAGACAATTCGACTAGAATGCACATATGCCAAAACTGACTGATCCATCGTAGTCTTTAAAAATCAATGGGAAGATCAAAACAATCAATACAAGATAAATTAGTATCATAATAAATTTGTTTACTTGATTCAAAAGCCAATTCCCTGTTCCCTCTAGGAGTGATCAATTGTCAGACTTTTGAATTGATTCATTACTAATTTAGTTTTCATTATAGATTGGGAACAAAAAGAAGACCATTAAAGTCTGTGTCTAGTGAGTAAAGATAAGACCTACAGTGATAATCGAGCTGTTACACCCAATTTTCCTAGAATCCCACGTAGTTCTGTACAATTTGCAAATTATTCCATTAAATATCAATGTTTCAGAACGAGTTAAAGCCACTCAGCTCAATTAGTACTCAAGAGACACAATACAATACTACTTTATAGTTAGAGACCTTGAGTTTCATAGTTTAAAATCGGTCACTGTGTAGTGATATATGATGATATTCTATCTACTATTAAATTATGTGTTCACATTTTACATACTTTACTTACCTACTTACGCCTGTTACTCCCAATGGAGCATAGGCCGATGACCAGCATTCTCCTATACACTCTATCCTCGGCTTTTCTTTCCAGTTCTATACAATTTCGGTTCATTCGTCTCATGTCTATCTCCATTTCTCGGCGTAATTAGTTTTCATAGTTTTCTTTCGCCTTGAGGATTCCAAACGAGGGTTTGTCATGTGACACAGTCGGATACTTTCCTCAATGTGTTTCCTATCCACTTCTAGCGCTTCTTCCTGATTTTTTCCTTCGTTATATGTTTATATACTACTGCATTAATTTTCATCTCGCTTTTCATGTTTTTGTATCATATTGTAATGTAGATTAATAATCTTTTTCAGATAGTAGCACGAATTGAAGCACGTGATCCTGATGAAGGACATAATTCTTTATTACATTTCAATTTATATTCTGGTAATCAAGCTTCAGTTTTTCGTCTTGGTAGTACATCAGCTGAATTAATAATTGATCGTGAATTAACTATACAAGATATTGGTTTATATCCATTAGTAATACATATACAAGATGCTGGTATTCCATCACGTACAACAGAAGTGAAACTAATGGTTAAAGTAAATGTTTGTTTTTGTTTTTACTTTTAAAAAATCAATTTTTTGAGTTTTAACTTGACTAGTCTATAAATTGTATTACAGCAATATCCGAATATATTGAAATCAACCAAACTATATTCTGTCTTTATAATTTTTGACTAAGATCATGAAGTGATAGATGTTAGACTACCATTGAAAATCTGAAAGAGCTGGACGGCTGTTTTGTCCTACTGTGGGACTCCTTAGCAATGCGCATCCACGACCCCGCTCACAAAATTTGAATCCAGGGCTTCCGATCTCGCGCGCGAATGGTCACCTTCTAGACCACTGAACCATTCGGCATCCAACGGTGTGAATGTTTAACCTCAACCAATCCACGCAATTGGGTAAACATCCTTCATTGTACTGAAGTAGATACTTGTCTCCATCCGACACGAATTATCTGCACTGATCACGGCCATCCAGTGCTTCCAAGTTTTCAATGGTGGTCTAACATCTATCGGTTCATGATCTCAATCGAAAACTTAATAATCTCCACAACCCTATACTGATACAGTTTTTCTGTTAGGGTAACATTTAAATTAAATTAGTAGTTGTTTCTGATGGAGAATAGGCCACAGACCAGCATTCTATCCTCGGTATTCCTTTCCACTTCTATCCAATTCTTGTTCATTCTTTTTATGTTTGTCTCCATTTCTCAGTGTAATGTGTTCTTTGGTCTTCCTCACCACCCCCTTTGTCATCGAGGATTCCATGTGAGGGCTTGTCTTGTGACGCAGTTTGGTGATTTCCTCAACGTGTTTCCTATCCACTTCCATAATTTTTTCTGATTTCTTCCTCCACTGGAATCTGCTTTGTTCTCTCCCATAGTAGGTTGTTGCTGATAGTGTCTTGTCAACGAATCCGAAGTATTTTGCGTAGACAACTGTTAATAAACGTTTGTATCTTCTGGATGATGGCTATCGTAGTTCTCCAGATTTCCTCCCCATACAGTAGAACTGTATTGTTTTGAGTTCCAGATGTTCTCCATTTGTAAATATTCTCCTCTTGCTTTGCCGGTCAGCATCTTCACATCTGTATCAGCTCCACCGTGTTCATCAATGACGCTACCCAGATATGTGAATGTATTTTTACATCTTCCAAATCTTCTCTATCAAGCGTGATTCGATTGTTGCATGTTGTATTGTATCGGAGAATCTTGATTTTCCGTTTGAGTATGTTGGGACCTACTGCTGCTAAGGCTGCTGCAAAATTAACATTATCATTATAAATTCTGCTACAATATGTCTAACCTGACAATGACAACCTAAAATTGTTTCAATCTTATCAATACTATACACTAATTATAACTAATCATTCATAATTATAGAAGTAAGTGAAGTTTTGTTTGTATGCTGTTTCATCTATTACAATAGATCATTCGAAATGATTCCAAGTTATCTACATTATAACCACTATCAATTAAATGTACCGTATACACACACTGCAGCACACAGGCAGCACGAAGAAATGAAGAGAAATACCTGAAGGATGTATTTCAGAAGAACGGCTACCCCATCAACTTCATCAAAAAATACCAACCGTACGCAGCATTAGAACTGAAGTCAAGCACAAAAATCAACAAAAGGATCACCCTACCATATATACAAGGAATATCAAAAACCACGACGAGACTGCTGAAAACCTTCGGAATAGGTGTGGCACACAAACCGACAAAATCACTACAATCAATCTTATGCAAAACAAAAGATGAAATAACAAAGAAAAACAAATCAAACATCATCTACAAAATAAATTGTGCCAACTGCAAAAAACACTACATCGGACAAAGCGGACGCCCCCTTCACCTTCGCCTACATGAACATCAATTAGCAGTCAAACGGCATGATATCTCTTCACTTATATCAATACACGTGGACAACTGCGGACACTCATTCGATTGGAAAAATGTGGAAATCTTAGACAGAGGAAACTCCAAAAACACCAGAGAATTTTTAGAAGCCTGGCACTCAGGTCAATCAGCAATCAACAAACATATTGAAATCAATCCAATTTATCAACCAATCAGAAAAATCATGCACAAACATAAGAACAAAAATCAAAACAATGGGAGACACAACCAAAACAAAGAAGTAAACAACGACAAATTTAAGGTCAATAAGAACCAATCAACGTCGAGGCGCACAGAACAAGCTTTGAGACACATATGGAGAAATTCAAACACTTCACTTCTATCTGAAGTTTGTGCTGATGATGTCGTTCAGAAGAACGATGAAAGATCCAGGACCAAACCATCCAGCTCAGAGAACAAAACTCCACCAAAACCGTATACCTCCATCATTTCATACTATTAGCCTACATCCATTATGACCACAACTGCAGTTTCTTTTTTTTTAAATTCCTATTGATATTCCTGTCTGGATGGAAATCAGAACAACCACCAATGCCCCCACATAATAAATAACTTTTTATCTAAAGTACATTTATTGATATACACACATTTGTGATCATTTTTATAACCAGAAGGGTTTTTGTGGAGATTTTAAGAAATCTCACTGATTGAAATCATGAGTCAGTTGAAGCTAGACAATCATGGAGAAACTAGAAGCACTGGACGGCCGTTTTATCCTAGTATGGGACTCCTCAGCAGTGCATATCCACGATCCCGCACCTCGCGAGATTCGAACCCAGGACCTATCACTCTTGCGCTAGGCGCTTAACCAACTAGACCACTGAGCCGACATCTAACGGTGTTAATGTTTAACTTCAACTAATTCACGAAGTTGCTCCACCGTACACCATTGTCTTCAGTGAGTTGATATCTCACAACAGACCCGCTGAAGGGCCCCATATTAGGACGAAACGGTCTTCCAGTGCTTCTAGATTTTTCATGGTGGTCTAACTTCAATTGACTCATCATTTTTATAACATCTAAAAACAATCCATTATTATTACATAGGTATTTGTCATAATGGACTGTAAAATCAACTGTATATCAAAAAAATTGTTTTAATGAAATTTCATATTCTTCAGTAATTCATATCCATGGAACGTTTTTATCTTCATGAAACGGGATCATTAAATTATAGAGCCTATTAATGATAAGTCTTCTTCATTTCAAATATAATTAAGACTGTTGTGGAGATTATCAAGCATTGCTGAGGACTCCCATAATAGGATGAAATAGCCATTCAATGTTCCCAGGTTTTCAATGGTAGTCTAATATCACTCGGTTCATAATCTCAATCAATATTATGATAATGCATATTAGTTTTAAGGCCATAAAGAACCAATGACAAGAAATCATAATTTGTATGTAACTAAGTCATTTATAATACAAAAGTAAATATCAGGTATATAATTAATTAACTGTAATTTATCAACAGTAGAATTAACAATAACGATAACAATTGATTGATCATTGGGTAGTGATCAATGTCATCTATGTCAGATTCTTCTTAGTTCATATTAAATCCTATCAACCAAGTTTCAGTCCGGCCACCAGTTTAGATGACTTGAGATTATATGCACTATGTTGAGATAAAATAGTGATTAGAAGTAATGAACAGGAAAGCCTGGACCTAGATTTCATGCTATTTTAGAACTCATCATCAAGGTGTACCTGTAATCTTGTTGGAACTGATGCTCCCTGACGGATTCAACCCCGTGTTGCACAGCTTCATACTCAGAAGCGTTACCACTGAGCTATCTAGACCATTACTGACTATCGGTAAGACTGAGATATATTTGCTGATGAATACCAAGTAGCACAAAACTTAGGTCCAAGTTTTCATGTTGACCACCTTCAACTACCATCTTATAAAACAACAATTAATACTTAATGAATACAGAATTCAAATAGATATAATCATCTAACGATAGAATTGCTTTCTGGAAGTTTCAACTTTCCCAGAAGACCAACATTCCCATTAAAGTTTTAAATCACATGATTCATAGTTAATTAGTAATATTTAATCTTATTAATGAAGTACTGTCACTATTTTACTTGATTTAGTTACTAACTATCAACGTCATAGATTTGGTCAGAACGATATGTAATTACTAAATTGTCTATATTTATCAGTATGCTTTTCTTTTCTTTTCTTTTTTTCTCACTTCATTTTAAATCAATGATTTATTCTTTATTATTTGTGTTGTCCACTTGAAGTTCTAACTAATTGTGTAATAGAATTTACCTGTATGTATGTATATTGATACAGATTCAAGATGTTACATTGTAGACTACATATCAACAGAACAACAATAACAAATAGTCTTTAAAAAAACTTTACAAAATAGACAAATATTTAAATTTCCGGTTTTATTCTTATTCTCAGTTTATTTTTTTTTCTTTTATTTACCATGATAGAAAAGAATTTTAGTGATACTGTTTCTATTTAAGTAACTAAACTTGCGTATGTATGTCTCTCTCTCCTCCCCTTCCTCCCCCTCTCTCTCTCGCTCACTTTCTGTGATTGTCTTATTGAACCATCTCATTGAATATCGGTATCGGATATGGTTTTATGAGGGAATAAAAAACATTAAAACATATCATTCTGTAGTTAAAGTACATGAATAGTAAGTCTATTACCATGTGTATATACACAGGAATGTTTCTATGTAGATATGTATGAGTAATTTTGATACTCATGTGATTGTTACTGAATTATTCTAAATTTTAAAAAAGAAGAAAAAACCGGAATAAGATTTTGCAAACTATCAGCTATTATATATATTGAACAGTCTTGTCTGAACATTTTCAGGAAAATAATCAAAAATCAAGAGGTGTTTTTTTAATGTTTGTCAGTATGAGGCTTTGGAGATTATTACGTTTTTTATTCAGATCATGAACTGATTGATAGTAGACTACCACTGAAAACCCTGAAGCATTGGACGGCTATTTTTGTCCTATTGTGGGACTCCTTAGTAATGTGAATCCACGATCCCACGCACGAATGCTTAACCTCTAGATCACTGAACCAGTCGTTATCCAACGGTGTGAATATCTAACTTTGAACAATCCGAGAAATTAGGCAACCATCTTCCATTGTACTAAAGTAGATACCTGTCTCTACCTGATACGAATGAGCTCCACTGGTCACAGCTTCTCATTAGAACTCTGAGAATTCACTTATGAAGCTAGTCACTATTGAGTACATGGTAATTATCAATATAGGGTTGTAGAGATTATTACGTTTTTAATTGAGATCATGAACTCTTTCTATGTTTAATCATTTTCATATTTTCAGTTCGGAATTTATCAATATGAACTTCATATTATAATATCAGCTATATCTTTAACTGACAGTAAATAATATTGTTATAATCTCTTCATACGGTTATGACCCAGCTATTCCTATTGCTTAGTATTCTCGGACACCGATTCACTCGACAAGTCCCCAAATCAGAACACGGTTGAACAGGAAAGAGATTATATTCCAAATAACAAGGTTAGATGGAAGTAAGATGCCAGTAAGAAGCACAAAAGGGAAAAACGTCAGTATATTTATAGTTTTTTACATGAGAAGATTCTAGAGTATTCTTCAACTATCAACTAGTGCTGATTGGATAAGAATTAGCCAATCAGCGTGCACCAAAGCAATCGCGCATTGAGCTTGCTTTAATCCAGTCTATGTTCCGCTAACAAATATACTTGAAAGTAATCGAAAGTACTCTTAATGAATAAGCATCGTTTATCTTATTAAAAATCAGTTATACCGATAGTCTAAGAGAAATCATCACTAATCACCGCTTAGAATAATGATTAAGTATTATGACAAATTGACTATGGGTTTGAAGATAAAGACTCATAAGTCTTAAAGTAATGTCCTTTTTCTTTAAATCTGAAAGTGTCGAAATTTATTTGATTAAAATGAAACTTCTATTTGTCATGTATTATGGCCTATAAAATAACACTAATTAGAATATCGACCTTATCTTTGTGCTGAATCAATAACATGTCAATCAACCCTAACAACTTCATGTCAATTCTATATTTAGTGGTTTATAGACTAGCTCAGTCCATAACAAAAATATCAGCAACCACTATAGGAATCGTATATTTCAGATATATTTAGTTTATATTCAAACAAATCAGATCGCAACATACCATAAAATAGAAATAAAAATTATACAAGATCAAGCCATAAAGTGTATGTGAGTACAGAAGACTGTAACGAATGGAATGGGAATAAATGAAGAATAGTAAAACATATAACAGTAACCAATAGATGGAATTAAAAACTTATGACAAAACAAATACGAATATACATAGTTGTCTACGCAAAATACTTTGGATCCATTGGCCGGACACTATTAGCAACAACCAACTGTGTGAAAGAACAAACCAGATCCCAGTGGAGGAAGAAATCAGGAATAATTTCTGGAAGTGGATAGGAAACATATTGAGGAAAGACCCCAACTGCGTCACAAGACAAGCCCTCACATGGAATCCTCAGTGCCAAAGGGGGTGATGAGGAAGACCAAAGGACACATTATGCCGATAAATGGAGACAGACATAAGAAGAATGAACAAGAATTGGATGGAATTAGAAAAGAAGGCCGAAGATAGAGTGTGTTGTAGAATGCTGGTCGGCGGTCTATACTCCATTAAGAGTAACAGGCTTAAGTAAGTAAATAAATAAGCGGTAAATAAATCCCTGAAAACAAAAAGTCTTCGAAATTTAGATACTGATCAAATTGGTTTTGATGGACTCACCTAGCTGAAGTTGCTTGATCATGCATTCACACCAGATCATGAGTGGGAACGCTATGCTCAACAACCCTTGCAATCGCTAGCTAGCTTAGATCAGTTGATTCTCGATATATTGATAGCCTATCAAATATATCTTCAAACCTCTTCACTTCTGACTTTTAATTTCACTAGGTGGGTATGATTTATAGTAGAAGGTGTTACTGGTTAAAGTGTTGCCAAACTATAAATACCTATAGCATCTTCAATATAATCTAATTACTTAGTAGTTATCCAATAGAAATCTAGATAATGATAGTTCATAAATGTTGAGGACGTTAGATCCTCAGAACTCACTTGGGAAAAAACCTAATTTTATAATTTTATTTAGGAAATTTGAATTTCTTTGTTTTCGCACCAAAGGCGCTCTTGTCACTTTCATGTCGTATTTTCCACTGAGAAATATCTTAAACGCTATTGGTCCATTGCGTCTTTTAATATGCTGTTTGGTAAAACTCCCCAAGAACGGTTTAGTACTGTATATGTACGTATTGAATTGTGTTTGTTGTGATCGCTCGTTTCTGTCTGTTTGCAGAATATACTTCCCCATTCTAAGCTTGGACTTCGCCCTTTAGTTAACGGGGCTGGGACGCATCAATAGCTAGCTTTCTGGTCTTTGGTCACCGAGTGTTGTTTCTTGTTCGCAGATTAAATGAAATCTTGATAGCTTCAACCTTAACAAAAAATCACTCTTAACAGTTATTATCCACAATTGATTGATCACTGGGTGGTGATCAATGTCTATGTCATGCTTGTCTAGTCCTTATTAGTGCAGATCGAATGCTGTCGATCGTGTTGCAATGTGGCCACCAGTCTAGGTGACTCGACACTGCGGGCACTATGTATTGAGATTTAGATGGTGGTTGGAGGTAGTCAACAGGAAACCCTGGACCCGGGTTTCGTGCTATTTGGCACTCGTCAGCAAGGTGTACCTGTAATCTTGAGGGAACTGGTGCTCCCTGGCGGATTCGATCTTGGCCACATTGCAACACGATCGACAGCATTCGATCTGCACTAATAAGGACTAGACAAGCATGACATAGACATTGATCACCACCCAGTGATCAATCAATTGTGATTACATGTCAGTCCTACAGGAGGATAGTCACGGCTCGGATAGCTCAGTGGTAACGTCTCTGACTGTGAAGCTGGGTGACACGAGATCGAATCCACCAGGGAGCACCAGTTCCCTCAAGATTACAGGTACACCTTGCTGACGAGTGCTAAATAGCACGAAACCCGGGTCCAGGGTTTCCTGTTGACTACCTCCAACCACCATCTAAATCTCAGTTACTATCCAATATATTCTTCTTTCAGAACATCAATCAAGTATCATTCTAAATGATTTATAATTGATTATTACTATTATTTTTCTACCCTCCCCCCCTCCTTTCATATATAGATAATTGATTCACCACCACGTATATATTCGAATCGATTTACTAATTTACATCATTCTACAAATCTATTAAATAATGATATTAAATCATTGAATTTACATCGTCGTTTTAAAGATAATCAATATTATTCATCAATGAATGATCATGAGAAATTAATGAAAACAAATGAATTTCATAACTATGATGAAAATAATACATTAAATACTAGTTCTATATTAGTTGCTATAGTTGCATTAAGTTGTGCTATCATACTTGTATTATTAGGGATTACTGTATATGTATGCGGTCGACGAGGATTTCAAACTTTTCGTTATCATAATAATACTAATAACACTACTACTACTAATAATAATAATAATAATAGTAGTAGTAGAAATGATCGAATGCAATATCTATCACGTAATCATAATTCATTAAATAATATCAAATTACCTGATGATAAATTTAATTGGAAAAATCTATTAAATTCAAAATATCATACAAATAATAATAATAATAATACAATATTATATCCTAATAAATCAATAATCAATAATCAATATCATTCCAATCAATCCATTTTATTCAATAATGAAAATAATCCATATATTGATCAATTTAGTAATATATCTTTAAAATCAATATTGATTGAAGAAAATAATTCATTAAAAAATAAACAAAAAAATCATGAAAATTATACAACATTTTTACCATTTAATGAATATACATCATATAGAAATTATCAAAAAACATTACCAATAATCAATGATAAACAATCAATATATTTAACAATGCCAATCAATAATAATAATAATGAATTAAAACAAAATTATGAAAAATATTGGATTATTAATAAACAAGATTCTAATAATTATACATTACCACAATATAATCAATATGAACAAAATATAAGTACTAATAGTAATAGTACATTGATCAATTCAAATCTTGATTATTTACAACAATCTCATCAGACTAATAATAATAATGATCCATTGAATCTATGTAAAACGATAATGAATGATGAAGATTTAAAAAATAAATCAATATTACCAATGAATATATCAACAATAGATATGATAAATAGTACGAATAATGTTACCATGGCAACAGATACGAATAATAGTATCATGAATAATCGTAATAATAATATTAATAATAATAAAATTGATCCTGTTTATTTTACACAATCGTTAAAATTAAAAAAATCAGAGAAATTAGATAAGTCAATGAATTTATTGAATACATCAATTAATAATGATAATAATCATGATCATAATTCAAACGAAATAAATCAATTAAAAACTGCTAGAAGTTGGGAATATATTGCAATACCACATAATAATAATAATAATAATAATAATAATAATAATAATAATAATAATAATAATCAAGTAAGTAATGATATAGATTGTTTATTTATTAATAGGTGAACCAATCAGATTTAAGATAGAAGGTCATAGATTTTGGCGCGAGATTCATATATATTCATTTAGTTAAATATTGTTACTAATTAATATTCGGCTAGTTATTATCTAATTTATTCACTAGTCAAAATACGATTTATTCGCTCTTTTACTGTACTAAACCAATGACGTTCAACCGGTATGAACAGTCTAGCGTCATTATTGATCGTTTGTATGCTTAGCCCGTCCAGTTGAGTTTAGAATACCGATAATACCTTTCGCTATGCGAATCATTTATTTCAGATATACTTAGTTCATATACCGGCTAAACAGACCACGTCATATCATAAAATAGGAAATAAACTTTGCACAAGATCAAGCCAAAAATTGCCTGTGAATATGGGGGGGTGGTAATAAATGAGCTGAACATAACTTAGGAACATTAAATCGTATCATCGAAATAGTCTACAGGTCAAGATAAAGCTCATAATAAGAGAAATATAAATATACATAATCTAGTTATTGAACAGTTATACAATTGGAATGTATATATAATATTACTCCATTAATAGGCCTCAGAATTTACTCGTAATAAGATTTTCACTAGGATATAACAAATACCATTTCAGTATTATCGCTAATATCAGTTCGTGATAAAAACTCTAATTCTAATTCTTAACCTTAACCATCAACTATAAAACATAATTCTAATTCCTCGCACAGCTTTATAACTCTCATCATTTAGTCCTAGTAAATAGGTGGACATCCTCAAGATCATTTTACTGTGACTCAAAAGCATAGGCCACAGACCAGCATTTTACAACACACATTGTCCTCGGCCTTCCTTTTCAGTTCTGTCCAATCCTTTTTCATTTTTCCCATGTCTATCTCCATTTCCCGGAGTAATGTGTTCTTTGGTCCTCCTCATCACCTCCTTCGGCTTTGAGGATTCCATTTGAGGGCTTGTCTTGTGACGCATTTGGGTGCTTTCCTTAATGTGTGTCCTATCCACTTCCATCACTTCTTCCTGATTTCTTCCTCCACTGCAATCTAGTTTGTTCTCTCTTATAGTAGGTTGTTGCTGATAATGTCTGGTCAACGAATCCGAATTATTTTGCGTAGACAACTGTTAATAAACACTTTTATCTTCTGGATGGTGTTTGTAGTAGTTCTCGAGGTTTATGCCAGATACAGTAGAACTATCTTGACATTTGTATTGAAAATTGTGGTAATTTACCGAAATAGATAATGTATTTTTACATAATTAGATTATAGCTGACAATGGAAGCCAAAATGGATGTATCATCTTATATGAAAATTTTCATGTGGATAAATCTCCATCTTAGTGTTAATTTCATACTGCAATTCGATCCTGAGACCTAATGTCTCAAACGCAAACACGTTATTTACTAATATATTCAGGTCAGGTATTAACTTACTTGTTCAACAGGAATGAAAGTGTGATGAATCGTTTTTAATTTCCTGTTGTTGGGATTCGAGATTGAGATTAATCAGTTTCTATCACTTTATGTGCATTCTGAATAATTTACCCGATTAAACCCATTTAGTCATAAGTTCCTAAACATTCGGACTGTGATTATTAATGATAAAGGCTATATTGATGTCATCCACTAAAGATGAACATATGGCATAACGGTCTTAGGCGAGACTATAATGTATGGATGAACTAATCAGAATTACGATAACAGGTCTTGGATGTCGGTGCGAAATTCTTTATCCATTTGACTAAATAGAGTCTTGGCATTTTAGCTGAAGTCAGTTCGTGATGAAAATCCTAAATCTAATCCCTATCCCTAGCCATCAACTGTAAATCACAATCCTTATCTTTCACGCAGGTTTAAAATCCTCATTCAACCCCAATCAGTAGGGGAACATTCTCAAGGCCATTTCAGCGTCGCCCAAAGGTCGTTCATAAATTATAGTCTCGCTCAGTCTTAAATTTCAACTAAGGTAAATTGCAAACCATTGTGAGTTAGGCAATTCATTCTCATTGCAATTTAGGGTCACAAATATATGCTGATTATTACTACTTAATTGTACAGATTAGATTAAGTAGTGTTCAATTGTTGAAATCTGAGTACTTGAATTATTTACTTAAGTACGAATTCTATACCTCTCCATAAATGGTTTAGTTTAAAAGCTTAGAACTTTGTGGATTGAAGACATATCGATTAGACGATCTAAACTCATTCCTTCAATCTAATCCTACGACAAATAACAATGTTTGTTGCTTAAATAATCACTAATAAAACAATTTGAAGATTATTCAATACATCACTAGTTCCTATCTATAATATTAGTGTAATACATAATGAAAATGTACTTCGTATGTAATATATGCTACTGATATCGACAGATATAAGTAATATGTATCATCAATCAGGAGTGAAATGTCTAGTGGCAGAAGGTTCAAATAATCGAAGAAAACAGGATGAGAACAGGGAATAATTACTGTGATAACAAAAGAACAATCAAGTCTGAAACAATTGGTTGACATATTGTAAATGATTTTCAAAAAGCGTTCTGTGGAGATTTTAGAAATTTCACTAGCTGAAATCATGAGTCAATTGAAGCTAGACCACCATGGAAAACCTGGAAGCACTGGATGGCCGTTTCGTCCCAGTATGAGATACTTCGACAGCGCGCATCCATGACTTCACCCTGCGAGATTTGAACCCAGGACCTATCAATCTCACGCGTGAGAGGTTGGATGCTATCTCAATGGTCTTGTTGATTAAGCGCCTGGCGCAATACTGGTAGATCCTGGGCCCGAATCTCGCGGGGGGGGGGCGGGATCGTGGATGCTCACTACTGAGGAATCTCATACTGAGACGAAACGGCCGTCCAGTGCTTCCAGGTTTTCCATGGTGGTCTAGCTTCAATTGACTCATGATTTCAACCAGTGATATTGTAAATAAATTATTTATTATAGAGTACTCAGTTTTTGCTAAATGATTCAATAAGTTTGTATTAAAATACATTGGATAATCCCTACTATTGTTGTTGTTATTCATTACAATGGAAGTTGATATTGATCAATTCTTATTCAATAGTTAACAAATGTTTTATATAATGATTGACAATAGAATATCTTATCTCATTATTTCCGGTTATATCATTTATGTCAATCAGAATGATACTTTTCATTTTAGATATATTTCCTTAAAAACAGAAAAGTTACCATTTAGATCTAAACTATTTACAGTTAAAAGGAAGTAGCTTGAAAAAAAATAAATCTTGTCTAGATTATCTGAATAATCTTATTGGTTGATTTGTCTTGTTGTTTTTCAACCAATCAACTATTGACATTATTAATATATCCCTTCAAAAGATATTTCTTGGAATTGTAGTGTAAAGTTATGATCAATGAAGTTCAACCAGATTTGTTATGAGATAGTAACTCGTTGATAACAATGATGGACGGTGACGCAACTTCGTGGATTTGTTAAAGTTAGACATTAACACTAATGGATGCCCGTAGGCTCAGTGGTCTAGTTGGTTAAGCGCCTAGCGTGAGACTGATAGGTCTTGGTTTCGAGTCTCGCGAGGCGGGATCATGGATGTGTACACAATAGGACGAAACAGCCGTCCAATGCTTCCAGGTTTTCCATGATGATCTAGCTTCAAATGATTCATGATCTCAACTATTTATATATGTTATTTCTTCTTCTGAATGTTGAACCAATATTTTCTTACTTTCTATTTTTTTATTCCGTTACTTCAAGTCATTATCTCCTTTATCATCAAACAAAGAAGAACATAACAAACCACAACAACAACAACAACATCAAGGTCAGTTTCGAATGTTTATTTAGTTTTATAGAATGCATTCAATATTATTACAGTATAGTTGTGTAAAATTTAACTTATGTAGAATATATATGCTTCATTATTCTATTCTCAGAATAGATTTCATTTATAAAATGAAAGTATTTGGTAAATTGATATGAAATGAGTATTCAATAAGAACTGTGTTTACCATTATAAGCAGAGATGTTGGTGTTTAGCAATGGAATTCAGCATTCACATTTCGTTCTATTTGGGACTCGTCAGATGGATGTACTTACATTCCAGAGTTGATACTCCATCATCCATCTTTGCTTATAATACTTGCGACTGGGCAATCTGCAGAGGATGCATATATGGCAACAACAGAGGAGGAGGATTTAAACAACCAATACAAAAATGAATTAATTCTTTCTTATCTATAACTTCTCATTAAGTTGAATCATTTACGTAAAACCATTTCATAGGTGTTCACTTCTAAAGAAACTTAAACAAGGCTAAAAACAAATATCCAGTACTTATTAAGAACATTTTAGTTAATATTAGTTCGTAGTTAAAATATTCCCAAACGTTTATCGTTTTAAAAACAATTGGTTGAAGTTAGACATTAACACTAGTAAAAGGGTTGTGGAGCTTATTAAGTTTTTGATTGAGATGACGAACCAATTGATGTTAGACCACTACCTTTGGAGACCTGGAAGCACTGTGCGGCCGTTTCGTCCTACTCTGGAATTTCTCAGCAGTGCGCATCCACGTTCCCACTTGCGTGATTCGAACCTGAGACCTTCGGTCTCGCGCGCGAACGCTTAACCTACTTGATCACTAAGCCGACCTTTAATGGTGATAGTATCTAACATCAACCAATCCACGAAATTGCGCAACCATTTTCCATTATTCTGAGGTAGATACCTGTCTCTACCCGACATGGATTACCTCCACTGATCACAGCTTCTCACTAGAACTCCGAGAATTTTCTCACGAAGCTAGTCACTAGTGAGCTCATTGGTCCAGTAGGTTAAGCGTTCTCGCTGGAGACCGAAGGCCCTGTGTTCGAATCCCGCGAGCGGGATCGTGGATGCGCACTGCTGAGGAGTCCCACAATAGGACGAAACGGCCGTCCAGTGCTTCCAGGTTTTCAATGGTGGTCTAACGCTAGTCGGTTCATGATCTCAATCAAAGACATTACCACTGTTGGAAACTGGCTCACTAGTCTAGAGGTTAAGCGCTTCTGCACGAAACCGAAAGTATTGAGCTCGAGTCCCACTTGTAGGATTATGGGTGTGCACTATTGAGGAGTCCTACATGATTTTCAATAATGATCTAGCTCAGACTGACTTATGATTTCAATTGTGAAAATACTACAATCTCCACATATCCCCATTATTAAAAATAGACAATAATTAGTTGTAGATAAAATTAATGGTCTCTGTGAGTGGAACATTAGTGAATAATGATTCGACATCCAGAGATAGAATAATTTTGTCACATACAATCACTTCTTTTATGTGCTCGATAAATTCAAAAGTATCATGTACGGAATGTTTACAAATACGTTTTTTAACGGGTTCTAGAAGATTTGCCATCCAGTTTACTATAGAGTGGTAAGGAGATCCTGACATATCAAGAATTGATCTAAGAGGTAGGCCAAGTTTGTGTAATTTTGGCAAACCGTATAATTGCGGTATTATTGATGCAGTTGGTTTTATGCGCTCAAAGACTTGTTCCTTGATTAACTGCTCATTTTTCATTCTAATTAAGAACTTCAATCAGTTGCTTTTCTATAATTTCAGTCTTGTTTTTCTCATTGATTAATTTTGAGAATTTGGTGTCATCTGATAATAAGGTTGTCATTTTTTCAACATAAATCTTGCAATCAACAACCAACAGCATCAATAATACCGCGATTATACGGTTTGCTAAAAATACACAAACCTCTTAGATCAATTCTCGATATGTCAAGATCCCCTTACCACTCTATAGTAATGTGCCTGGGAAATCTCCTAGAATCCGTTAAAAAAACGCATTTGTAAACATTCCATACGTGATAATTTTGAATTATTAGTTGTATTCAATTCATTTATTTCTTGTTTATTCATTTAGTTTCATGGACTTCTAATATTCAAACAAGTATTCCATCAAGTAAATCAACAACAATTTTATCACCACAAAATACAATTTCACATAAAATAGGTCATTGTCTTTCAGATAATCAATCTTTTATGATTACATCTACTCCTTCTATTACTTCTACACCTTGTACACCTTCTATTACTTCGACTACTTCCAATGCTACTAGTAGTACTCATACTACTAATACCACTACTACTACTACTGTTACATCATCAAATTGTTCTGATTATACTATTATTAACCAATATCCTAATACATTACAAACATTTAATAGACAATCTAATCATAATAATAATAATGATAATTTATCTGTATTCTATTTAAATCATTCAACAAATATGATTGATCATTATAATCAATCTTTATTATTAAATCAATTCAATCATAAACAAATCAATAAATCAATAGAAAACTGTAATCAATCAATAACACCAATTAATTTAATTGATTTTATTGATAAACAATTATGTAATAAGAAATCATGTCAATGTGATACAATAATAGATAATTCAATAATAAATGATTCTAAAGATTCAATGGATAATAATCCCAATGCAGTTATGTATATGATAAACAATCAACAACAACAACAACAACAACAATCAAATTCTTTACATTATGATCTAAATCATGATAATACTTCATCGATTTCAACTGATTTTGTTTAAAAGAATTCGTTCAATTATTGATTTTTTTTCTTGTTTATTTCTTTGTTTTCTTCTTTTCTTTTCTTATAAACGATCAAAATAAACAATTGTACAATTGTACATTTTTGTTTTGATAAAATAACTCATTTCATTAGATTATATAATAACATTACTAATAATAGATTTGAATTGTTTAGCGTTTTTCTGTGGGGAGGGCGATTTAGTTTTCTATGGTGGGAGGTCGCTAACCTCATGCACAACCCTTATTCTATACCGAGGCTTGAAAACGGCAGTAACTTTTGAAAAGCTATAGGCAGAGTTAAAACTGTGCCGCATTGGGAGTTAAACACCGGGCTGCTTAACTAAGAGCCAGAAATTCTAACCGTTAGACGCAAAGGCGTGGATTGAGGAAGCAAGGATAGCATTCTTACAATTGAAGAACATATGTAACTTAGCACAACTTTCAACCAATAACAAAGTCAGAATCTTCAATACAAACGTCAAGACAGTTAGTTCTACTGAATGGAGCTGAAATTTCTAGAACTACCACAACAATCATCAAGAAAGGACAAGTATTTATAAATAGTTGTCTACGCAAGATAGTCAACATCCATTGGCCGGATATCATCAGCAACAACCTTTTGTGGGAGAGAACAAACCGGCTTCCAGCTGAAGAAGAAATTATGAAAATACGATGGAAATGGATAGGACATACATTACGGAAATCACCATACTATATCACGAGGCAAGCCGTAACTTGGAATCCTGAACGGAATCAGAAAATAGAAAGACCAAAGAACACATTACGTCGAGAAATAGAATCATATATGAAAAAGATGAATAACAACTGGAAGGAGATAGAAAGGATTGCCCAAGACAGGGTTGGATGGAGAATGCTGGTGGGCGGTTTATGCTCCTTCACGAGGATTAACAGGCGTAAGTAAGTAAATTATTTTAAGGAATCATTAAGAAAGCTTGAGAATATTTAATTTGTAACAATCCTAACGACATAACTCACTATTACTGTTATTACTACTATTAACACCATTTTTAAATACAGTGAGAATCATCTTCAATTTACATTAAATGTTGGGAGAAAAACATAATCATAGATTTCCCATCATTTTATTCTCATACGTATTTAATTATTCAATTATACAATTATTCCCACATTTTATTACAGTTTTCATTTTTATTACCCGAATAGCTTGCCAATATACAATAATGATAATAATAATAATATTGACTTGAACGTTCACATAAATAACTGTAATAAAACGAAATAGTAATAGAGAATCAAAACTAAGGTTTGAACTAAAGAATAAATGTCTAGATAGTTTAGATAAGCACTATTGACCAATTGAAACCAGTTATAACTTGTTGTTTGAATGCTTATTGTCTTGGCTCATTTAATGCTAATTTTTTGTATCTGGTCATGACTGATTGTTATGTCGGAAACGCTTATCATTTATATTCGGAACGAAGGGACCTCTGCAATTCCCACGACGCAAAAGTAAGAACAGAAAGACTGATACAAGTGATGATTTATTAACCCCAAAACACGACGACGACAACGATTCTAGTAGAAAATACACTCATTTATATATTCATTGTACACCTATTTTGATTAATAATTAGGATGAAATCACATAATGGGCATAGTGTTCATGTCAATGGAATACAAGAATATCGCATATTATACAGAATAAAATATCATACGAGAAAAGAAAACAAGAAAACTACATTGAGTAATCATTTCATTGAATCAAAACGGAAGTAATTTTGAACCAAAACTCATAATGAGTAAATCAATCGGAAGATGACTTTTCTTTCCATCATATCAAAACCAAAACAAGTTGATTAAGTGAATGATGATTCTGGATTTCATTATAATTATAAATGTACATGATTACCTAAACAATGATTACCAATCAATAATTATTCAATTATTAATCAAATCAATTAGTTGATAATCAATAGTTGAAATCATGAGTTAATTGAAGCTAGACCATGACCATAGAAAACCTGGAAGCATTAGATGCCCTTTTCGTCCTATTGTGAGACTCATTCGTAGATGAAGGATGCGAGAAAATTACCAATCGCAACAAATGAATGTTATTCTATCCTGTCTGGATAGATCACGCACAGATTCGTTCAAAAGATAATATTTCGTTGCTTTATAACACAGAAAGTGTTTCGGATTCTAGAAGAGTGCTTCAACTCATAATAAAAAAATGCACAATTCCAGTCAATGAAAGTAACACAATCAAAAGGAGGGGACAAACCAATATGGCTGCCGCCAAGACTAAGTATTAACTAAAACAACATAAATACAGTTCAGAAAGAAACATAGAGACTCAGTGAAAGTAGAAGAAAATATTAAAAACAATAATAAAATACAAATCAGCAGTACGTCTCAACATACACAAAAGGAAAAGCAAGATTCTCCGATATAATATAGCATGCAACAATCGAATCACACTTGATTGAGAAACTTTGGAAGATGCAAAAACCTTAACATATCTGTGCAGCTTAATTGATCAACACGATGAATCTGATACAGATGTGAAGGTACGGATCGGCAAAGCAGTAGCAGCATATCTACGACTGAAGAACATCTGAAACTAAAAAGAATTGTCAACCAAAGTCAGAATTTTCAATACAAATGTCAAGACAGTTCTACTGTATGAGGTGGAAACTTTGAAAACTACGAAAACCATCATCCAGAAGATACAAATGTTTGTTAACAGCTGTCTAGCAAACTACTTCGGATCCGTTGACCAGATATTATCAGCAACAACCTACTATGGGAGAGAACAAATCAGATCCCAGTGGAGGAAGAAATCGGGAAGAAACGTTGGAAGTGGATAGGACACACACACATTGAGCAATGCACACAACTGCGTCACAAAGTAAGCCCTCACATAGAATCCCCAAGGTCAATGGGGGTGATAAGGAAGACCTAAGAACATATTACGCTGAGAAATGGAAACATACATGAGAAGAATGAGCTAGAATTCGACAGAACTGAAAAGGAATGCCGAGGACAGTGTGTGTTGTAGAATGCTGATCTGTGGCCTATGCTCCGTTGGGAGTAACAGACGTAAATGAGTAAGTAATAAAATACAAATATTACCATCTGGAATGGAATCAAAAAGACTAACAACATGTATTACGAGAGAAATAAATAGGAACAAATTACAAGCGTTTGTATGGAAGGATTTTCAAACACACACACAAAACCTGCAAAAAAGGATCTTACAAGTAGTTTGTATTGCTATTATAGGGAAAGTGAAATGTCACTGAGGCCTAGACAAATCATCCAGTAGTTTGTGTCACTGAATATCGAATAGATCATTGATCCTCGTCAAAGTCAAGGACAACCAACGCGCATCGGTTGATTGTATATCATAACCTGTCGCATGCGGTAGTGGTCTCACTATCTTACTAATCTATTTCTTTAAAAACGTCCTTTGTGTTATACGATCTTCATAGGAGCCACAGAACTCTGATACATCAATGGAGTAATCCACGTCAGATGTTAACGTTAAAATGTGACTTCGAATTTAGCTAGTTTGTCACACCGTTCCCGTATAATTCAAGTAGGCCTCCAATTATTCGACATAGATTATCTATCTTTTATTCACTTCTATTTCAATTATTTTTTTTCAATTACATGTTTAAGTATATTCAACCATCCGTTATTTATTAACATGAAAATCCACTTAAAATAAAAAACAAAAGAGGTCAAAAGTCAATTTATAAATAAGACAATATTGAATATTGATCATTCAAGTTATTATCTACTGTGATTATCCTATCGACGCCAGTTGAATAAGTGATTGTCCTACAACGATTCACTACCCCAATCCCCCAACCTTCCAAAAAAGGAATTTTAAGGTTAATCATAATTAAACTATTCAAATAAACAGAAAATGATTTTATTAATTGAAAAAAAATAAATAAATGGGTCATCAGTATCTAGTCAAACTGTTATTTATCATTAATTGAATGATTCATATTGTTGACCGTGACCTTTAATGAATCTTAAATGAAGTTCATTATTTATATCAAAAAAGGAAAAAAAAACAATTGCTCATTAGTGACTCATTTGATGAATGAAAACAAACAAAAAAAAACACATCTAGAGCTATCGTGATATATTCATGAAGGAATACAACTACTACTACTACTACTACTACTACTACTACCACTACTACTACTACTACTACTACTACTACTACTACTACTACTACTACTACTACTACTACTACTACTACCACTACTACTACTACTACTACTACTACTACTACTACTACTACTACTACTACCACTACTACTACTACTACTACTACTACTACTACTACTACTACTACTACTACTACTACTACTACTACTACTACTACTACTACTACTACTACTACTACTACCACTACTACTACTACTACTACTACTACTACTACTACTACTACTACTACTACTACTACTACTACTACTACTACTACTACTACTACTACTACTACTACTACTACTACTACTACTACTACTACTACTACTACTACTACTACTACTACTACTACTACTACTACTACTACTACTACTACTACTACTACTACCACTACTACTACTACTACTACTACTACTACTACTACAACTACTACTACTACTACTACTACTACTACTACTACTACTACTACTACTACTACTACTACTACTACTACTACTACTACTACTACTACTACAACTACTACTACTACTACTACTACTACTACTACTACTACTACTACTACTACTACTACTACTACTACTACTACTACTACTACTACTACTACTACTACTACTACTACTACTACTACTACTACTACTACTACTACTACTACTACTACTACTACTACTACTACTACTACTACTACTACTACTACTACTACTACTACTACTACTACTACTACTACTACTACTACTACTACTACTACCACTACTACTACTACTACTACTACTACTACTACTACTACTACTACTACCACTACTACTACTACTACTACTACTACTACTACTACTACCACTACTACTACTACTACTACTACTACTACTACTACTACTATTACTACTACTACTACTACTACTACTACCACTACTACTACTACTACTACTACTACTACTACTACTACTACTACTACTACTACTACTACTACTACTACTACTACTACTACTACCACTACTACTACTACTACTACTACTACTACTACTACTACTACTACTACTACTACTACTACTACTACTACTACTACTACTACTACTACTACTACTACTACTACTACTACCACTACTACTACTACTACTACTACTACTACTACTACTACTACTACCACTACTACTACTACTACTACTACTACTACTACTACTACTACTACTACTACTACTACTACTACTACTACTACTACTACTACTACTACTACTACTACTACTACTACCACTACTACTACTACTACTACTACTACTACTACTACTACTACTACTACTACTACTACCACTACTACTACTACTACTACTACTACTACTACTACTACTACTACTACCAGTACTACTACTACTACTACTACTACTACTACTACTACTACTACTACTACTACTACTACTACTACTACTACTACTACTACTACTACTACTACTACTACTACTACTACTACTACTACTGGAGACGTTTACGTTCCTGGACAGAATCGTTAATAAATAATAAGAATCTGATGCAGATGTAATGGCAACGAATGGCAAAGCAACGACCACATTCTTTCACTTAAAGAACACTTGTTACTCAACACAACTTTCAACCAATATCATGGTCTTAATCTTCAATACTAACGTCAAGACAATTCTACCGTATGGAGCTGGAAATTCGAGTAGTACCACAAGTGTCATCAAAACAGTTCAAGTATTTATAAACAATTGTCCACGTAAGATACTCATTGTTCGTTGATCGGATGCCATCAGCAACAGCCTAGTATGAGAGAGGACAAAATAACTTTTAGTTGAGGAAGAAAATAGTGATAGACGTTGGAAGTGGATAGGTCATACATTACGGGAATCATCAAACTGCATCAGGAGGCAAGCGCTAACTTAGAATCCTGAATGGAAAAGGAAACGAGGAAGGCACATGAATACTCTTAGTCTGATATTGTAAATAAACAAGAAAAGAATAAACATCGACCGGAAGGAAATGGAAAGGATTGTCCACGACAGTGTTGTATGAAGAAATCTGGTGCGCTGCCTATGCTCCTCGAGGAGCGGTAACCTGCGTAAGTAAGTTATGAACGATTAAGGATTAAATGTTATCACAGAAAAATTTCATAGTTCCATAAAATGCAACTTTATTTTATCCATTGATAAGCATGATAATTCCAAACATCATCAATTAAATGTTTCACATGATTAATTTCAACAGCATATCTAAGACAACATATATTGAATCAGAAGGACTTTTATGAAGATTTAATTAATTTCAACAGTTGAAATCATGAGTCAATTGAAGTCGGACCACCATTTAAAGCTTGGGAGTACTAGACGCTCATTTGGTCCTATTGTGAGACTCCTCAGTAATGCATATTCATGATCCCGCTCACCAGATTCCAACCCAGGATCTATCGGTGTTGCGCGCGAACGCTTAATTTTTAGACCATTGAGTTGGTCGATATTCAATGGTGTTAATGTCAAACTTCAACCTATCCCCGAAATTTCGCCACCGTTCACCATTGTATTCAGTGAATTGATATCTGACAACAGACCAGGTTGAAAACCACTGCTCACGACTATCCAGTGCTTCCAGGTTTTCCATGGTGGTCTAGCTTCTATTGACTCATGATTTCAACTACCGATATATTGAATCACAAAATTTGTATCTACTTTATGTGTATTTAATAGTTCCCAGATTAATTATATAAATAACAAGTTAATTTGTCAAAACGATATAAACTATGTTAGAAATGTACATCTGAACAATGTATACACAAAATATATGGAATCGATAGTAATATCTATCTTTTTATTAAGATCAACCATAAGAATTGGGTTATTTTAAAGAACATTCAAATTTAAATGGAGACTCAATATTTAAAAAAATTTCTAGAATGAATATATTTGTGCAACTGTAACCTCCTTTTTTGAGTATACACCTATTAACACAACTTCATCCAAAAATCAATAACTTAGTGAATTGATATTAAGGCTTGATTTGATTCATTATATTCCAAATTATTTCTAACATTTAACGGAGGGTGAAGATATGATCAATACATCCTCGACCAGAACGCAAACCAGCCTGTTCCTTGAAATTCAATCTTTCTCGGGTTTTGAACAGTCTACGAAGTATGAAGGGAGCCAATAGTTTGGATGCAATTGTAGGTAGGCTTATCCCTCGATAATTGTTACAGAAAAGACGTAAACTCTTTATAAAGGTAAGGATAACTATCGACTCATTTCATGATGTTGCAGCTATCTTTAACTTCCGAACCTTTGTAAACAACTCAGACAATTCCTTGACCAGAATGTCACCATCATCTTTTAAAAGGATAGTCTGATCGACGTTTTCGAGGCAGCAAACCAGTTGAACTGATCCTCGAAAAACTCTGCCCATTGTCTAAGACGTCGAAAGGTGTTAGTGATTAGCATCTCGTCATCTTTACAGATTGTTTCGCTCACACCAGAGTACTTGCTGCCAGTACCTCAGATGAATTGAAAGAGCTCCCGGCAGTTACCAGATGCAACTAATGCCTCCAACTAATTGGCACACTCCAACCACCAGGCTTTTCGGTCTTTGCCCAATTTTACCGTGTAACAATCTTTGTTTATAGTCAAACTTGTGGTCTTCCGGTGTAGACCGACGGGCTTCATAGAGTTGTAAGGAACCTGAAGAAATTCAGCAGGACATTTCGCAAGCGACTTTGTTTATCATTTTCATGGCGTCATGTAATTGCAACCAATGCTTATATATACTTTTCAGTGGGATGGTAGCTACACTTAAACCTAGCTCGGTTTTATATTTAGTGGCTACAGAAGCTGAAACCAATCATCATTTATCCGATAATGATTATTCATTATAACACCGAATTCAATATTACTACATCATATTACTTATAAGTAACTATTATTTTATTTCAAAAGTTTGTTTGCCCTTAACGAATTAGTGTATTTTGATCTTATCAAACTTCTTATCTGTGTTTCTTGTTGAATGTTTCTTAATGGTTTCATCATTTGGAATATTTGCTTTATAACTTATACATCTTTAATGAATCTAATATCAAAAGATAATCTTCATCAGTAACAATCTAATCTACATTGAAGTTTGTATTTACTAAATAGACAATACCTATTAACGGAAATATAGCAACTGATGGGTATGTGTATCATAAATATCGTTAAAAAATTATTTAGCTAGTTATAATAGGTCTAACTTATTATAAAATATTGGAAGATTATATGAGTTTCATTGTTAACTAATATACATCTTTTCTATAAAACAATTAAATATCTAGTTTATTAGTAGAATTCATGAGTCAACTGGTGCTAAACCACCATAGAAAACCTAGAAGCACTAGAAAGCCGTTTCGTCCTAATATGGGACTCGTCAACCGTTCACATTCATGATCTCACCTCTTGAGATTCGAGCCCAGGATCTATTAATCTCGCTCACGAACTCTTAACCTCTAGACCACTGAACCATCATCCATGGTAGCCTAGCTTCAATAGACTCATGAATTCAATTACTAAATTACCATAATATCCACAAAACTTATCTCTGTCAAAATATTATTTTTTCTTTAATAATATAACTTAATTAATCTTTAATAACCAACAGTATGTTTATATATTATTAATACCGCTTTATAGCTCTTCTAAGGTTACTGTCTCAGTTCAAATCCCGGATAAAGACTAAGGGTTAGACATGAGGTTGACAACTTTATCCCATAGAAAATAACCTTAATAAAAAACAAACAAATCACTAACCAGAATAAACAAATTAAACCATTTCATGCCTTAACTAAACATGAACCAATTCACCAATTAGGAAAAAATAAAATAATTATCATTCACATATTTTATAAATATTTATAATAAATATTATTAAAAAATATTGATGAAATCTTGCGAAGCGGGATCAAGGACACACACTGTTGAGAAATCCCACAGTAGGACGGAACGATCGTCCAATGCTTCCAACTATTAGATGATGGTCTAGCTTTAATTAATTTATAATCTGAATTAAAGGAATTATTATAATATCCAGAAAAAACTCTTCTGATATCAATCAACATATGCTCACTAGTGTCGGGTTTCAAGATGCATATCCTGGAGTTCTAGTGAGAAGCGCTTGCCAGTGGAGTTCAACCGGGTCTATTGCGAGATAGTAACTCACTGAAAACAATGGTGGATGTGTTGCTCAATTTGGTGGATTAGTTGAAGTTAGACATTTATATTATTGGATGCCGGGCAATACAGTGGTCAAGAGGTTAATCGTTCTGATTTCGAATCTCACAAAACGGGATCATGGATGCCGGCCCAGTAGTCTAGTTCGTTAAGCGCCTGGCGCGAGACCAATAGGTCCTGGGTTCGAATCCCTCAAGGCGGGGTCGTGGATGCGTGCTACTGAGGAGTCTCACAATAGGACGAAACGGCCATCCAATGCTTCCAGGTATTAGATGATGGTCTAACTCACAATCACAACTATTGAAATTACTAATATTATCCACAAAAAACCTCTTCCGATATTCATAAATATATATATATATATATATATATATATATATATATATATATTATAAGCTTTATTCAATATGATATTTTTGATACAATACAGAATTCTTAGCACAAAGTATTTCAACAAGTTTTCGTTTCTTACTTCCTGGTCGATCCTGACAATAACATATTGAATGGTCGTCAGTTAGATGTTAACAGTTCAGTAAATGAACATTTGAATAATGTGCATTCTTTTCACTGTATATTGCCAGCAACCACATTATCTCTTATTGGACTTTTTGTAACTTTGACAATGAAAAGTTGTACAGTTTTCAGAAATGCACTAGAATAGTGTTATGAGATGAATAGACATAATGAAATATATTAAAACAAACAAAAACTAGATAACTTGTTAAAATATCTAGATGACAAGAACATGTAGCCCAGATGCTCAAGAAGGCCACCTATCTAAAATGACATAATTATTGATTATTTATTTATATTAATATCAATATAAATTATTTGAGTGCATAAAATCAATAATCAATAAACCAAAGAAAATCAATTGACTGAACACATGATTAATAAAATTTAAATTTTTCCTAGTGTAAACACTACTTCCTTCTGTTATTCATTCATTCATTCATTCATTCATTGAATCATTTGTTTAACTGTATAATTTTGATCCTCACAATATACAATTCAAATTCAGATTATACTCTACTCTATTTATTATTTGATCTTTAATAATTGACAATATCTTAATCTATATCGATACATCTAATATAGTGGATCAAGAAAGTGATCCATTTCTTTGTGTTAAACATTATTATCATAGATCATTGAATAGATTTATTATATTTTTAATGATTGATATTAGTTATAATATTCTTATCATGTCAACTTTTGTTAGTTTATGTTCTGCATCATCATCATCATCATATAAAAAATTATATAAAAATACAATAAATAATTATGGAATCATTAATAATAATCAATATATCAATGTGAAATCAATTTCTATAGAAAAATTAAAAAATTATTTTTATCGATTAGATCAATTACCATTTATTGATGAAATGTATCAAAATGATAAATGTAAGTGATCAATATTAACTTTTCTTTTTTTTTTTTCTTTTTCTTTTTTATTCATTAAGATCATGAACCTAATTGATGTCATAGATCATTATTGAAAACCTGGAAGTACTAGATGATGAAATTCATCAATATTGAGCATCCAGCATTCATGATCCTACCTTATAGGATCTTTTACTGATTAAGTGTTCACAAGTGTAAATCAAGTGTTTAGATATTGATTTCTGTGTTTAAGTTTGTACATAAACACTACTATTGATGTATCTTATATTAGAATAAGATAGTTGTTCAATGCTTCAAGATTTTCAATGGTGATTTAGATAAGATTGTAGATTGTAAATGAAACTAAAAATTTCTGAAATAATCAACATTGATTGGGTTAACCAAAATCAGCTCAAAACTTACAAATCAGAGGTTATTTTTTTAGTTCTAGGAATTATAATGCAATTAGATAATCAAGTTACAAAGTGATATTGTTTAGACATTGTAAACTTTAATCGAGTTCTTATATTTGTATAACTGTTAACAACAACTATTCACCTTATATTATTATCTTTGATCTATCTATGTACTATTTACAGTTTCTTATAGTTGACTTCTATGCAATTTGAGCCGATATAACATTATTTTATCCACTGATAAGTATGATAATTCCAGACACCATCAATTAAATGTTTCACCTAATTAATTTCAACAACATATCTAAGACAACATATATTGAATCAGAACGACTTTTATGAAAATTTTAATAATTTCAACAGTTGAAATCACGAGTCGATTGAAGTTGGCCCACCATTTAAAACGCCCGTCTCGTCTTATTGTGAGACTCCTCAGTAGTGCACATTCATGATCCCGCTTCGCGAGATTCGAACCTAGGATCTATCTGTGTCGCACAACAACGTTTAACCTCTAGACCATTGAGTTGGCCGGCATTCAATAATGTTAATGTCTAACTTCAACTAATCCACCAAATTGAGCAACGCATCCACCATTGTTTTCAGTGAGTTACTATCTCACAATAGACCCGGTTGAACTCCACTGGCAAGTGCTTCTCACTAGAACTCCAGGATATGCATCTTGAAACCCGACACTAGTGAGCACATGTTGATCAATATCAGAAGCGGTTTTTGTGGATAATATTATTAACTTCAATAGTTGAGATTATGAGCGAGACTATCATCTAATACTTGGAAACATTGGATGGCCGTTTCAACAGTGTGTATCCATGGTCCCGTTTTATGAGATTCGAAATCAGAACGATTAACCTCTAGACTATTGAGTTGGCCGGCATCCAATTGTAATAATGTCTAATTTTAAATAATCCACCAAACTGAGTGATACATCCACCATTGTTTTCAGTGAATTACTATCTCACAATAGACCTGGTTGAACTTCACTGATCACTGCTTTTCACTAGAATTCCAGGAAATTACATTGTTTAGAATTCAGATAGACAGCAGATTTTATAAATATCATGCATTTGAAAACCATCAAAGCTTTTTTTTAATGAGAGATACTTTCTGTAGTGCTGTGTTCAATGAGTAAAATGTTTTTCTAATTCTATTCTGAATAGCATCACTAAGGCCTACTACACTTAGAGTCAAAGTTCTTCTGTCATTTCATAAACAGAAAAAGACAACTAAAAAGAATGAAGGAAATAAAAATTACCTGGAAAGTCAGTTATGGATAAGGGTATCTGATTCAAATAACTTGACATGTACGTACAAATAATGACTGAAAAATTACCTCTATATAATGCAGACAATGATGATGGTGACGTAAATATCAGTGATAGCTGGTTGGGGTTTGCTAACAAGGCATAAATGCTTTAGTCTTACAGGTGGTCAGTCGCACGTCGGAGGTTTTAGCGGTAGCATCTTAGTCTGTCTACCGTACTGACCTGAAACTTGGAGAACTACAACAACCATCATCAAACATGTACAAATATTTATAAATAGTTGTCTACGCAAGATACTCAACATCCATTGGCCGGATACCATCAGCAACAGCCTTTTGTGAGAGAGAAAAAACCAGCTTCTAGCTGAAGAGGAAATTTGGAAAATACGATGGAAATGGATAAGACAAACATTACGCAAATCGTCAAAATGCATCACGGGGCAAGCTCTTACTCGGAATCCTGAAGGGAATCAAAAAATAGGAAAACCAAAGAACACATTACGTGGTGAAATAGAAGCAGATATGAAAAAGATGAATAACAGCTGGAAGGAGCTGTAAAGGATTGCCCAAGACAGAGTTGGATGGAGAATGATGATGAGCAGCCTATGCTCCTCCACGAGGTGTAACAGGCGTAAGTAAGTAATTAATCTTCGTCTGTAGAGTCATGCGACATGAGATAGAATTCCACAGGGATTATCAGTTTCTCCGAGACTGTAAGTACAACTTATTGACAAATGTTTGAAACAACCCGAAATTTAGATCGAAAAGGGTTTCCTTCCATCTACCACTATTCAATTAAAAACTCAGAAAACTCAATACCAGAAATATTTGTCGTTAATATGTAAAACGGAAACTCATGATTAGTCATGTGTATATATGCCTATAACTAGTACACTGAATATGAATAAATCAAATATCCTAACTCATTGACTTGTATAGTACTCAAACACTTATGAAATACATAACTGACAATCACATGGCTTTTTTTAATTCTTCGTTTCATTTTGTACTAATTATGGTTAATTAATAAAATGTATAATCTATAAAATGACTAGAAGTTATTTCATGATATGTTCAATGACATATGATCATGAATAGAAACATGCAGCTTTTATATTAAAAAGGTAATACATTCAAAATGGTTAACAAGATATCAATCACATGAACCCTCTTCATGTATGTATTGTAGAAGTTAATAAATCCCCAGGATCAATAGATCTAAATCTGTTGAGGAGTCCCATACTAGGACGAAACGGCCGTCCAGTACTTCCAGGTTTTCCATGGTGGTCTAGCTTCAATTGACTCATGGTTTCAATCTGTGAAATTTCTAAAAAAATCCCCACAAAACCCCTTTTGATAGTAACCATCTGCTAACTAGCGACTGACTTCAAGAGATATTCCTGGAGTTCTAGTGAGAAACCGTTACCAGTGGAGTTCAACCAGGTCTATTGTAAGATATCAGCTCACTGAAAACAATGGTATACGGTGGCGCAACTTCGTGGATTGTTTGAAGTTAGCTATTAACACCACTGGATGCCAGCCGGCTCAGTAGTCTAGTTGGTTAAGCGGCTGGCGCGAGACCGATAGGCCCTGGGTTCGAATCTCGCGAGGTAGGATCGTGTGTGCGCACTGCTGAGGAGTCCCATGCTGGGACAATACGGACGTTGAGTACTTCCAGGTTTTCCATGGTGGTCTAGCTTAAAGTGACTGATGATTTCAATCAGATCTATAATCCTTCGACATTTGGATGCTTATCACATTAGTTTTAATGGTCTCATCAAGCAGATGGCGCTTGGTCATGCATTCACATCAGATCATGAGTGAGAACGCTATTCTCAACATCCTCTACAATCGCTAGCTAGCCTAGATCAGTTGATTCTCGATATATTGATAGCCTATCAAATATATCTTCAAACCTCTTCACTTCTGACTTTTAATTTCACTAGGTGGGAATGATTATTAGTAGAAGGTGTTACTGGTTAAAGTATTATTAAATTGAAAATACCTGTGGTATCTTTAGGATATAATGACTCTCATTAGTAATTTATAGACATTAATCATTTTCAGCTGTTGATATTAAGGACTGCAATTGATCACATTCTATTAGCATATGTTCATCATAAAAGCTTTGATATTACCATTTCGTTACAAATTTTTTCCTTTGTATACAGATTGAGGTTAGTAATGTAATCCAGAATGTATGCTTCATTCCTTTTAGGACTCATCATATCGATAGACTTGTATTCTACTGTCGATTATCATACTGAAACTTGAATCCAGTACCGGTTAAACATGTTAATGATTATATGAACTCAGTAGGTGATCAGATAACAGTGCTACTATATTTCATTCACAGTATGAAACATTACTAAAACTCAAAATCTAGAAGAACTTAATTAAATATGTGCATCCGCACAAACTTCAGCATATGTTACTCAAAATTTCTACAGACATGATAATTAACTCATGAAATGTCAACGAAAAAGGATACAACTTCTTACACCTTTTTCCAGGGACTATTAATGTAGTTTATCCATATAAATATTATACTCTGTATCCACAGTCTTTCTCTAGCCTACCTCTATGTAAGCCGTTGTAGTGTAGTGAAAGACAATACAAATGGGGACAGTCATAATGTATTTGAACACATGAAATTACAGAACATCTTAGTAAAATCTGAGAACCATACAGTAAATACTTAATTTGTAAATGTAAGTCAGTTGTCGCAGACTTGATTGTTTCTGCATTTTCATACTGATTGATTTCTGTTTCAGTTCTTTCCTTCTCGACCTTCTACTGCCAGACATTCTAATCTTGACTACCGTTATATACTACTCATATCGATATAAGTAGCACATAACATAATAATACGTTAGATAAAAAAGAAGATAATGAATAAATGTACTTTATGTCATTATAAGCACAACACTTTCTGAATTGATAAAATAAGTCTAACTTACCAACGTTAAATATTAATTACATAATAATTATTATAATATTAATAGTAATGCAGTCCTAAATAACAATGGTAAGATACAAGTAAAATAACACCATGTGAATTTAAACTTCACCACATTGCACAAGCAAGTGGCTATCAAGACCAAATAGCTAAGTGGATAACGCGACAGTCTTTGAAGTGAACGGTACTGATACGAGTCCTCAAGTGAATATCAACTCTAAGATGCAGGAACATGTAACTGACGAGTCCCAAATAGGATGAAACACGTGTCAAATTGGATTTCATTGCTAGCTACTATCCGTTTTTGTTTAAAAAGCTTGTGACTATTGCCTACATCGAGGCAATTCACACAGGATTCACATATGCT